ACAACAAATTCAACACCTTACAACACATTTAGCACTTTACAAGACATTCAACACCTTACAACACATTTAGCACTTTACAAGACATTCAACACCTTACAACACATTTAAAACACGTTACAACAAATTCAACACCTTACAACACATTTAGCACTTTACAACACATTCAACACCTTACAACACATTTAGGCCCTGTTTATACTGAGACGCTGCGCAGACGTTTCCAGGCTATTAACAGAAACGACCAGGCTCCTAATGCAAATTTATCAGCGTTCACATGAGGTTGAAAAACGATGTAGTTCTAGCGCCCGGTCAGTAGTGGGCAGAGAAACTTTACAACACGACACACGACCCCCAGCCCCGTGCCCAGCCCCCTCCCGGCAGTATACTCACTTCCTGTGCCAGACCCTCAGAAAGTACCAACATCATTCTGCCTTTTCACAGCAGCTGTGAAAATGGAAACTGAACCTAGAGCTTCGCGTGGTCTCGTTTGGACGAACGAAGGAGTAGAATTATCCTCTGTGCCGCGCTGGAAGCCCACGAAGCTAGTTAGTGCGCGCGGCGCCATTTTTGTTTTCGTTTGTTCTCCGCTACTGCGCATGTCCAAATTTACGTGCGGGGAGCAGCGAGGAGGTGGGGGTCAGAGCAGAGGGGGATTTCACACCTTTCCCCTCTCGCGGGTGTGAAAGAGAGCCCCCGCTGTGCAGCGTTTCTGAGTTGTCCCACTCTGCAGGCTGGATCTGAACACTTACGTTTTCACCCCCCTGGAACACTGTCTTCGTATGAACGGTTGGTAGCAACCGACATCCAACTATACCGTTTTACTGCCACATTGTCTCCGTGTAAACTCAGCCTTAGCACTTTACAACAAATTCAACACCTTACAACACATTTAGCACTTTACAACAAATTCAACACCTTACAACACATTTAGCACTTTAACACAAATTCAACACCTTAATAAACATTTAGCACTTTACAACAAATTCAACACCTTACAACACATTTAGCACTTTAACACAAATTCAACACCTTACAACACATTTAGCACTTTAACACAAATTCAACACCTTACAACACATTTAGCACTTTACAACACATTCAACACCTTACAACACATTTAGCACTTAAACACAAATTCAACACATTTAGCACTTTACAACAAATTCAACACCTTACAACACATTTAGCACTTTACAACAAATTCAACACCTTACAACACATTTAGCACTTTAAGACAAATTCAACACCTTACAACACATTTAGCACTTTAACACAAATTCAACACCTTACAACACATTTAGCACTTTACAACAAATTCAACACCTTACAACACATTTAGCACTTTACACAAAATTCAACACCTTACAACACATTTAGCACTTTACAACAAATTCAACACCTTACAACACATTTAGCACTTTACAACACATTCGACACCTTAAAACACATTTAGCACTTTACAACAAATTCAACACCTTACAACACATTCAACACCTTACAACACATTTAGCACTTTACAACACATTCTTCTTACTTCATCTTCTTCTTCATCTTCCTCACCTTATTCTTCTTCACCTTCCTCCTCTTCCTCTTCCTTTGTCTTATTCTTCTTTCCTCTTCTTCCCCTCTTCCCCTTTCCTCTTCTTCCCCTTCTTCCCCTTCTTCCTCTTCTTCCCCTTCTCCCCCTTCTTCCCCTTCTTCCTCCTTCTTCCGCTTCCTCTTCCTCCCTCCTCCTTCTTCATCCTCTTCCTTCTTCTTCTTCTTCTTTCCTCTTCTTTCCTTTTCTTTCTTCTTCTTTTATTTCTTTCAACTTCTTCCTTCTTCCTCCTTCTTCCCCTTCCTCTTCCTTCTTCATCCCTAACCCTTCCAACATCTATGCAGCCACTCACAATGGCTTCAGCCATTGTACCATTTCTAGTTCTTCTTCTTCTTCTTCTTCTTCCACTTCCGCCAGATTTTGGCACTTTTCAACTCTTCAACGCTTTCACCAAATTCAACAAATTATACATCGTTACGACCGGCTTCACCGTCTCATTATTGCTATTACTTTTCACACTTCCACCTTTAGCACTTTTTCAGATATTAACAAAAGTTCAAGCACTTTTTCCCATTGACTTACATTGGACCAGTACAACAGATTACTCCCCATACAACACATTACCACACTAACAATTCATTACCACAGATACAATACATTACAACATCTTACAACACTTACAGCACCTTACAACACATTTAGCACTTTACAACAAATCCAACACCTTACAACACATTTAGCACCTTAAAACACATTCAACATCTTACAACACATTTAGCACTTTAACACAAATTCAACACCTTACAACACATTTAGCACTTTACAACAAATTCAACACCTTACAACACATTTAGCACTTTACAACAAATTCAACACCTTACAACACATTTAGCACTTTACAACACATTTAGCACTTTACAACACATTTAGCACTTTACAACACATTCAGCACTTTACAACACATTTAGCACTTTACAACACATTAAGCACTTTACAACACATTCAGCACTTTACAACACATTTAGCACTTTACAACACCTTACAACACATTTAGCACTTTACAACACATTCAGCACTTTACAACACATTTAGCACTTTACAACACATTAAGCACTTTACAACACATTCAGCACTTTACAACACATTTAGCACTTTACAACACCTTACAACACATTTAGCACTTTACAACACTTTCAGCCCCTTACAACACATTCTTCTTACTTCATCTTCTTCACTTCTTCCTCTTCTTCCCCTTCTTTTTCTTCTTCCTCTTCTTCCCCTTCTTCCTCTTCTTCCTCTTACAACACATTACCACACTAACAATTCATTACCACAGATACCATACATTACAACATCTTACAACACATTACAGCACCTTACAACACATTTAGCACTTTACAACACATTCAACACCTTACAACACATTCAGCACTTTACAACAAATTCAACACCTTACAACACATTCAGCACTTTACAACACTTCTAGCCCCTTACAACACATTCTTCTTACTTCATCTTCTTCCCCTTCTTCCTCTTCTTCCCCTTCTTCCTCTTCTTCTTCTTCTTCTTCTTCCCCTTCTTCCCCTTCTTCTTCTTCCTCCTCCTCCTCTTCCTTCTTCTTCTTTCCTCTTCTTCCCTTTTCTTTCTTCTTCCTTCTTCTTCCCCTTCCTCTTCCTTCTTCATCCCTAACCCTTCCAACATCTATGCAGCCACTCACAATGGCTTCAGCCATTGTACCATTTCTAGTTGAGTGGCTGCATAGACTATGCAGCCACTATATGCTCTCCTACTGTTTATTGAGTGGCTGCATAGACTATGCAGCCACTATATGCTCTCCTACTGTTTATTCTTCTTCTTCTTCTACTTCCGCCAGATTTTGGCACTTTTCAACTCTTCAACGCTTTCACCAAATTCAACAAATTATACATCGTTACGACCGGCTTCACCGTCTCATTATTGCTATTACTTTTCACACTTCCACCTTTAGCACTTTTTCAGATATTAACAAAAGTTCAAGCACTTTTTCCCATAGACTTACATTGGACCAGTACAACAGATTACTCCCCATACAACACATTACCACACAAACAATTCATTAACACAGATACAATACATTACAACATCTTACAACACTTACAGCACCTTACAACACATTTAGCACTTTACAACAAATTCAACACCTTACAACACATTTAGCACTTTACAACAAATTCAACACCTTACAACACATTTAGCACTTTACAACACATGTAGCACTTTACAACACATTCAGCACTTTACAACACATTTAGCACCTTACAACAAATTCAACACCTTACAACACATTCAGCACCTTACAACAAATTCAACACCTTACAACACATTTAGCACTTTACAACAAATTCAACACCTTACAACACATTTAGCACTTTACAACACATTCAACACCTTACAACACATTTAGCACTTTACAAAACATTCAACACCTTACAACACATTTAGCACTTTACAACAAATTCAACACCTTACAACACATTTAGCACTTTACAACAAATTCAACACCTTACAACAAATTCAACACCTTACAACACATTTAGCACTTTAACACAAATTCAACACCTTACAACACATTTAGCACTTTAACACAAATTCAACACCTTACAACACATTTAGCACTTTACAACAAATTCAACACCTTACAACACATTTAACACTTTACAACAAATTCAACACCTTACAACACATTTAGCACTTTACAACACATTCAACACCTTACAACACATTTAGCACTTTACAAAACATTCAATACCTTACAACACATTTAGCACTTTACAACAAATTCAACACCTTACAACACATTTAGCACTTTACAACACATTTAGCACTTTAATACACATTCAGCACTTTACAACACATTTAGCACTTTACAACACATTCAGCACTTTACAACACATTCAACACCTTACAACACATTTAGCACTTTACAACACATTTAGCACCTTACAACACATTCAACATCTTACAACACATTTAGCACTTTACAACAAATTTAGCACTTTACAACAAATTCAACACCTTACAACACATTCAGCACCTTACAACAAATTCAACACCTTACAACACATTTAGCACTTTAACACAAATTCAACACCTTACAACACATTTAGCACTTTACACAAATTCAACACCTTACAACACATTCAACACCTTACAACACATTTAGCACTTTACAACACATTCAACACCTTACAACACATTTAGCACTTTACAACAAATTCAACACCTTACAACACATTTAGCACTTTACAACACATTCAACACCTTACAACACATTTAGCACTTTACAACAAATTCAACACCTTACAACAAATTCAACACCTTACAACACATTTAGCACTTTACAACAAATTCAACACCTTACAACACATTTAGCACTTTACAACAAATTCAACACCTTACAACACATTTAGCACTTTACAACACATTCAACACCTTACAACACATTTAGCACTTTACAACACATTCAACACCTTACAACACATTTAGCACTTTACAACACATTCAACACCTTACAACACATTTAGCACTTTACAACACATTCAACACCTTACAACACATTTAGCACTTTACAACACATTCAACACTTTACAACACATTTAGCACTTTACAACACATTCAACACCTTACAACACATTCAGCACTTTACAACACTTTCAGCCCCTTACAACACATTCTTCTTACTTCATCTTCTTCACTTCTTCCTCTTCTTCCCCTTCTTCCTCTTCTTCCTCTTCTTCCTCTTCTTCCCCTTCTTCCTCTTCTTCCCCTTCTTCCCCTTCTTCCTCTTCTTCCTCTTCTTCCTCTTCTTCCCCTTCTTCCCCTTCTTCTTCCCCTTCTTCTTCTTCCTCCTCCTCTTCCTTCTTCTTCTTCCTCTTCTTCCCTTTTCTTTCTTCTTCCTTCTTCTTCCCCTTCCTCTTCCTTCTTCATCCCTAACCCTTCCAACATCTATGCAGCCACTCACAATGGCTTCAGCCATTGTACCATTTCTAGTTGAGTGGCTGCATAGACTATGCAGCCACTATATGCTCTCCTACTGTTTATTCTTCTTCTTCTTCTTCCACTTCCGCCAGATTTTGGCACTTTTCAACTCTTCAACGCTTTCACCAAATTCAACAAATTATACATCGTTACGACCGGCTTCACCGTCTCATTATTGCTATTACTTTTCACACTTCCACCTTTAGCACTTTTTCAGATAGTAACAAAAGTTCAAGCACTTTTTCCCATAGACTTACATTGGACCAGTACAACAGATTACTCCCCATACAACACATTACCACACTAACAATTCATCACCACAGATACAATACATTACAACATCTTACAACACTTACAGCACCTTACAACACATTTAGCACTTTACAACAAATTCAACACCTTACAACACATTTAGCACTTTACAACAAATTCAACACCTTACAACAAATTCAACACCTTACAACACATTTAGCACTTTACAACACATTCAACACCTTACAACACATTTAGCACTTTACAACAAATTCAACACCTTACAACACATTCAGCACTTTACAACAAATTCAACACCTTACAACACATTCAGCACCTTACAACACATTCCTCTTCTTCCCCTTCTTCCTCTTCTTCCACTTCTTTCTCTTCTTTCTCTTCTTCCTCTTCTTCCTCTTCTTCCCCTTCTTCCTCTTCTTCCTCTTCTTCCCCTTCTTTCTCTTCTTTCTCTTCTTCCTCTTCTTCCTCTTCTTCCCCTTCTTCCTCTTCTTCCTCTTCTTCTTCCCCTTCTTCCCTTTCTTCTTCTTCCTCCTCCTCTTCCTTCTTCTTCTTTCCTCTTCTTCCCTTTTCTTTCTTCTTCCTTCTTCTTCCCCTTCCTCTTCCTTCTTCATCCCTAACCCTTCCAACATCTATGCAGCCACTCACAATGGCTTCAGCCATTGTACCATTTCTAGTTGAGTGGCTGCATAGACTATGCAGCCACTATATGCTCTCCTACTGTTTCTTCTTCTTCTTCTTCTTCTTCTTCTTCTTCTTCCACTTCCGCCAGATTTTGGCACTTTTCAGCTCTTCAACGCTTTCACCAAATTCAACAAATTATACATCGTTACGACCGGCTTCACCGTCTCATTATTGCTATTACTTTTCACACTTCCACCTTTAGCACTTTTTCAGATATTAACAAAAGTTCAAGCACTTTTTCCCATAGACTTACATTGGACCAGTACAACAGATTACTCCCCATACAACACATTACCACACTAACAATTCATTACCACAGATACAATACATTACAACATCTTACAACACTTACAGCACCTTACAACACATTTAGCACTTTAAAACTAATTCAACACCTTACAACACATTTATCACTTTACAACAAATTCAACACATTTAGCACTTTACAACAAATTCAACACCTTACAACACATTCAGCACCTTACAACACATTCAACACCTTACAACAAATTTAGCACTTTACAACACATTCAACACCTTACAACACATTTAGCACTTTACAACAAATTCAACACCTTAGAACACATTTAGCACTTTACAACAAATTCAACACCTTACAACACATTTAGCACTTTACAACAAATTCAACACCTTACAACACATTCAGCACCTTACAACAAATTCAACACTGTACAACACATTTAGCACTTTACAACACATTCAACACCTTACAACACATTTAGCACTTTACAACAAATTCAACACATTTAGCATTTTACAACACATTCAACACCTTAAAACAAATTCAATACCTTACAACACATTTAGCACTTTACAACACATTTAGCACTTTACAACAAATTCAACACCTTACAACACATTTAGCACTTTACAACAAATTCAACACCTTTCAACACATTTAGCACTTTACAACGTATTTAGCACTTTACAACACTTTCAGTCCCTTACAACACATTCTTCTTACTTCTTCCTCTTCTTCCCCTTCTTCCTCTTCTTTCCCTTCTTCCCCTTCTTCCTCTTCTTCCTCATCTTCCTGTTCTTCCCCTTCTTCCTCTTCTTCCCCTTCTTCCTCTTCTTCCTCTTCTTCCCCTTCTTCCTCTTCTTCCTGTTCTTCCTCTTCTTTCCCTTTTTCCTCTTCTTCCCCTTCTTCCTCTTCTTCCCCTTCTTCCTCTTCTTCCTCTTCTTCCCCTTTTTCCTCTTCTTGCTCTTCTTCCTCTTCTTCCCCTTTTTCCTCTTCTTCCCCTTCTTCCTCTTCTTCCTCTTCTTCCTCTTCTTCCCCTTTTCCTCTTCTTCCCCTTCTTCCTCTTCTTCTCCTTCTTCCCCTTCTTCTTCTTCCTCCTCCTCTTCCTTCTTCGTCTTTCCTCTTCTTCCCTTTTCTTTCTTCTTCCTTCTTCATCCCTAACCCTTCCAACATCTATGCAGCCACTCACAATGGCTTCAGCCATTGTACCATTTCTAGTTCTTCTTCTTCTTCTTCTTCTTCCACTTCCGCCAGATTTTGGCACTTTTCAACTCTTCAACGCTTTCACCAAATTCAACAAATTATACATCGTTACGACCGGCTTCACCGTCTCATTATTGCTATTACTTTTCACACTTCCACCTTTAGCACTTTTTCAGATATTAACAAAAGTTCAAGCACTTTTTCCCATAGACTTACATTGGACCAGTACAACAGATTACTCCCCATACAACACATTACCACACTAACAATTCATTACCACAGATACAATACATTACAACATTTTACAACACTTACAGCACCTTACAACACATTTAGCACTTTACAACAAATTCTAACACATTTAGCACTTTACAACACATTCAACACCTTACAACACATTTAACACTTTACAACAAATTCAACACCTTACAACACATTCAGCACCTTACAACAAATTCAACACCTCACAACACATTTAGCACTTTACAACAAATTCTAACACATTTAGCACTTTACAACAAATTCAACACTTTACAACACATTCAGCACTTTAACACAAATTCAACACCTTACAACACATTTAGCACTTAAACACAAATTACACACTTAGCACTTTACAACAAATTCAACACTTTACAACACATTCAGCACTTTAACACAAATTCAACACCTTACAACACATTTAGCACTTTAACACAAATTCAACACCGTACAACACATTTAGCACTTTACAACAAATTCAACACCTTACAACACATTCAGCACTTTACAACACATTCAGCACTTTACAACACATTTAGCACTTTACAACACTTTCAGCACTTTACAACACTTTCAGCCCCTCACAACACATTCTTCTTACTTCATCTTCTTCACTTCTTCCTCTTCTTCCCCTTCTTTCTCTTCTTTCTATTCTTCCTCTTCTTCCCCTTTTTCCTCTTCTTCCTCTTCTTCCTCTTCTTTCCCTTCTTCCTCTTCTTCCTCTTCTTCCTCTTCTTCCTGTTCTTCCTCTTCTTCCCCTTCTTCTTCCCCTTCTTCTTCTTCCTCCTTCTCTTCCTTCTTCTTCTTTCCTCTTCTTCCTTCTTCTTCCCCTTCCTCTTCCTTCTTCATCCCTAACCCTTCCAACATCTATGCAGCCACTCACAATGGCTTCAGCCATTGTACCATTTCTAGTTTCAACTTCTTCCTTCTTCATCCCTAACCCTTCCAACATCTATGCAGCCACTCACAATGGCTTCAGCCATTGTACCATTTCTAGTTGAGTGGCTGCATAGACTATGCAGCCACTATATGCTCTCCTACTGTTTATTCTTCTCCTTCTTCTTCTTCTTCTTCTTCTTCTTCTTCTTCTTCTTCTTCTTCTTCCACTTCCGCCAGATTTTGGCACTTTTCAACTCTTCAACGCTTTCACCAAATTCAACAAATTATACATCGTTACGACCAGCTTCACCGTCTCATTATTGCTATTACTTTTCACACTTCCACCTTTAGCACTTTTTCAGATATTAACACAAGTTCAAGCACTTTTTCCCATAAACTTACATTGGACCAGTACAACAGATTTCTCCCCATACAACACATTACCACACTAACAATTCATTACCACAGATACAATACATTACAACATCTTACAACACTTACAGCACATTACAACACATTTAGCACTTTACAACAAATTCAACACCTTATAACACATTTAGCACCTTACAACAAATTCACCTTGCAACACATTTAGCACTTTACAACAAATTCAACACCTTACAACACATTCAGCACCTTACAACAAATTCAACACCTTACAACACATTTAGCACTTTACAACACATTCAACACCTTACAACACATTTAGAACTTTACAACAAATTCAACACCTTACAACACATTTAGCACTTTACAACAAATTCAACACCTTACAACACATTCAGCACTTTACAACAAATTCAACACCTTACAACACATTCAGCACCTTACAACAAATTCAACACCTTACAACACATTTAGCACTTTACAACACATTCAACACCTTACAACACATTTAGAACTTTACAACAAATTCAACACCTTACAACACATTTAGCACTTTACAACAAATTCAACACCTTACAACACATTCAGCACCTTACAACAAATTCAACACCTTACAACACATTTAGCACTTTACAACACATTCAACACCTTACAACACATTTAGCACTTTACAACACATTCAACACCTTACAACACATTTAGCACTTTACAACACATTCAACACCTTACAACACATTTAGCACTTTACAACACATTCAACACCTTACAACACATTTAGCACTTTACAACACATTCAACACCTTACAACACATTTAGCACTTTACAACACATTCAACACATTTAGCACTTTACAAGACATTCAACACCTTACAACATATTTAGCACTTTACAAAACATTCAACACCTTACAACACATTTAGCACTTTACAACAAATTCAACACCGTACAACAAATTCAACACCTTAGAACACATTTAGCACTTTAACACAAATTCAACACCTTACAATACATTTAGCACTTTAACACAAATTCAACACCTTACAATACATTTAGCACTTTACAACAAATTCAACACCTTACAACACATTCAACACCTTACAACACATTTAGCACTTTACAACACATTCAACACCTTACAACACATTTAGAACTTTACAACAAATTCAACACCTTACAACACATTTAGCACTTTACAACAAATTCAACACCTTACAACACATTCAGCACTTTACAACAAATTCAACACCTTACAACACATTCAGCACCTTACAACAAATTCAACACCTTACAACACATTTAGCACTTTACAACACATTCAACACCTTACAACACATTTAGAACTTTACAACAAATTCAACACCTTACAACACATTTAGCACTTTACAACAAATTCAACACCTTACAACACATTCAGCACCTTACAACAAATTCAACACCTTACAACACATTTAGCACTTTACAACACATTCAACACCTTACAACACATTTAGCACTTTACAACACATTCAACACCTTACAACACATTTAGCACTTTACAACACATTCAACACCTTACAACACATTTAGCACTTTACAACACATTCAACACCTTACAACACATTTAGCACTTTACAACACATTCAACACATTTAGCACTTTACAAGACATTAAACACCTTACAACATATTTAGCACTTTACAAAACATTCAACACCTTACAACACATTTAGCACTTTACAACAAATTCAACACCTTACAACAAATTCAACACCTTAGAACACATTTAGCACTTTAACACAAATTCAACACCTTACAATACATTTAGCACTTTAACACAAATTCAACACCTTACAATACATTTAGCACTTTACAACAAATTCAACACCTTACAACACATTTAGCACTTTACAACAAATTCAACACCTTACAACACATTTAGCACTTTACAACACATTCAACACCTTACAACACTTTTAGCACTTTACAAAACATTCAATACCTTACAACACATTTAGCACTTTACAACAAATTCAACACCTTACAACACATTTAGCACTTTACAACACATTTAGCACTTTAATACACATTCAGCACTTTACAACACATTTAGCACTTTACAACACATTCAGCACTTTACAACACATTCAGCCCCTTACAACACATTCTTAATTCATCTTCTTCACTTCTTCCCCTTCGTCCCCTTCTTCCCCTTCTTCTTCTTCCTCCTCCTCTTCCTTCTTCTTCTTCCCCTTCTTCTTCCTCCTCCTCTTCCTTCTTCTTCTTTCCTCTTCTTCACTTTTCTTTCTTCTTCCTTCTTCTTCCCCTTCCTCTTCCTTCTTCATCCCTAACCCTTCCAACATCTATGCAGCCACTCACAATGGCTTCAGCCATTGTACCATTTCTAGTTGAGTGGCTGCATAGACTATGCAGCCACTATATGCTCTCCTACTGTTTATTGAGTGGCTGCATAGACTATGCAGCCACTATATGCTCTCCTACTGTTTATTCTTCTTCTTCTTCTTCTTCTTCTTCTTCTTCTTCTTCTTCCACTTCCGCCAGATTTTGGCACTTTTCAACTCTTCAACGCTTTCACCAAATTCAACAAATTATACATCGTTACGACCGGCTTCACTGTCTCATTATTGCTATTACTTTTCACACTTCCACCTTTAGCACTTTTTCAGATATTAACAAAAGTTCAAGCACTTTTTCCCATAGACTTACATTGGACCAGTACAACAGATTACTCCCCATACAACACATTACCACACTAACAATTCATTACCACAGATACAATACATTACAGCATCTTACAACACTTACAGCACCTTACAACACATTTAGCACCTTACAACAAATTCAACACCTTACAACACATTTAGCACTTTAAAACAAATTCAACACATTTTGCACTTTACAACAAATTCAACACCTTAGAACACATTCAGCACCTTACAAAAAATTCAACACCTTACAACACATTTAGCACCTTACAACAAATTCAACACATTTAGCACTTTACAACACATTCAACACCATACAAAACACATTTAGCACTTTAACACAAATTCAACACATTTAGCACTTTACAACACATTCAACACCTTACAACACATTTAGCACTTTAACACAAATTCAACACCTTAAAACACATTTAGCACTTTACAACAAATTCAACACCTTACAACACATTTAGCACTTTACAACAAATTCAACACCCTACAACACATTTAGCACTTTAAAACAAATTCAACACCTTACAACACATTTAGCACTTTACAACAAATTAAACACATTTAGCACTTTACAACACATTCAACACCTTAAAACACATTTAGCACTTTACAACAAATTCAACACCTTACAACACATTCAGCACTTTACACCACATTTAGCACTTTACAACACATTTAGCACTTTACAACACTTACAGCACCTTATGACACATACAGCTCCTTTCAACACCCTACAACACATTTAGCACTTTAAAACAAATTCAACACCTTACAACACATTTAGCACTTTACAACAAATTAAACACATTTAGCACTTTACAACACATTCAACACCTTAAAACACATTTAGCACTTTACAACAAATTCAACACCTTACAACACATTCAGCACTTTACACCACATTTAGCACTTTACAACACATTTAGCACTTTACAACACTTACAGCACCTTATGACACATACAGCTCCTTTCAACACCTTCCAACACATTCAGCACCTCACAACAATTACAGCACTTTACAACACATTCAGAACTTTACAACACATTATTCTTACTTCATCTTCTTCACTACTTCCCCTTCTTCCTCTTCTTCCCCTTCTTCCCCTTCTTCCCCTTCTTCCTCTTCTTCCCCTTCTTCCCCTTCTTCCCCTTCTTCCTCTTCTTCTTCTTATTCCCCTTCTTCCCCTTCTTCTTCTTTCCTCCTCTTCCCCTTTCTTTCTTATTCTTCCTTCTTCTTCCCCTTCCTCTTCCTTCTTCATCCCTAACCCTTCCAACATCTATGCAGCCACTCACAATGGCTTCAGCCATTGTACCATTTCTAGTTGAGTGGCTGCATAGACTATGCAGCCACTATATGCTCTCCTACTGTTTCTTCTTCTTCTTCTTCTTCTTCTTCTTCTTCTTCTTCTTCTTCTTCTTCTTCTTCTTCTTCCACTTCCGCCAGATTTTGGCACTTTTCAACTCTTCAACGCTTTCACCAAATTCAACAAATTATACATCGTTACGACCGGCTTCACCGTCTCATTATTGCTATTACTTTTCACACTTCCACCTTTAGCACTTTTTCAGATATTAACAAAAGTTCAAGCACTTTTTCCCATAGACTTACATTGGACCAGTACAACAGATTACTCCCCATACAACACATTACCACACTAACAATTCATTACCACAGATACAATACATTACAACATCTTACAACACTTACAGCACCTTACAACACATTTAGCACTTTAAAACTAATTCAACACCTTACAACACATTTATCACTTTACAACAAATTCAACACATTTAGCACTTTACAACAAATTCAACACCTTACAACACATTCAGCACCTTACAACACATTCAACACCTTACAACACATTTAGCACTTTACAACAAATTCAACACCTTAGAACACATTTAGCACTTTACAACAAATTCAACACCTTACAACACATTTAGCACTTTACAACAAATTCAACACCTTACAACACATTCAGCACCTTACAACAAATTCAACACTGTACAACACATTTAGCACTTTACAACACATTCAACACCTTACAACACATTTAGCACTTTACAACAAATTCAACACATTTAGCATTTTACAACACATTCAACACCTTAAAACAAATTCAATACCTTACAACACATTTAGCACTTTACAACACATTTAGCACTTTACAACAAATTCAACACCTTACAACACATTTAGCACTTTACAACAAATTCAACACCTTTCAACACATTTAGCACTTTACAACGTATTTAGCACTTTACAACACTTTCAGTCCCTTACAACACATTCTTCTTACTTCTTCCTATTCTTCCCCTTCTTCCTCTTCTTTCCCTTCTTCCCCTTCTTCCTCTTCTTCCTCATCTTCCTGTTCTTCCCCTTCTTCCTCTTCTTCCCCTTCTTCCTCTTCTTCCTCTTCTTCCCCTTCTTCCTCTTCTTCCTGTTCTTCCTCTTCTTTCCCTTTTTCCTCTTCTTCCCCTTCTTCCTCTTCTTCCTCTTCTTCCCCTTTTTCCTCTTCTTGCTCTTCTTCCTCTTCTTCCCCTTTTTCCTCTTCTTCCCCTTCTTCCTCTTCTTCCTCTTCTTCCTCTTCTTCCCCTTTTCCTCTTCTTCCCCTTCTTCCTCTTCTTCTCCTTCTTCCCCTTCTTCTTCTTCCTCCTCCTCTTCCTTCTTCGTCTTTCCTCTTCTTCCCTTTTCTTTCTTCTTCCTTCTTCTTCCTTCTTCATCCCTAACCCTTCCAACATCTATGCAGCCACTCACAATGGCTTCAGCCATTGTACCATTTCTAGTTCTTCTTCTTCTTCTTCTTCTTCCACTTCCGCCAGATTTTGGCACTTTTCAACTCTTCAACGCTTTCACCAAATTCAACAAATTATACATCGTTACGACCGGCTTCACCGTCTCATTATTGCTATTACTTTTCACACTTCCACCTCTAGCACTTTTTCAGATATTAACAAAAGTTCAAGCACTTTTTCCCATTGACTTACATTGGACCAGTACAACAGATTACTCCCCATACAACACATTACTACACTAACAATTCATTACCACAGATACAATACATTACAACATCTTACAACACTTACAGCACCTTACAACACTTACAGCACTTTACCACACTTACAGCACTTTACAACACATTTATCACTTTACAACACATTCAGCACTTTACAACACATTCAGCCCCTTACAACACATTCTTAATTCATCTTCTTCACTTCTTCCCCTTCTTCCTCTTCTTCCTCTTCTTCCCCTTCTTCCTCTTCTTCCCCTTCTTCCCCCTCTTCCCCTTCTACCCCTTTTTCCTCTTCTTCCCCTTCTTCACCTTCTTCTTCTTCCCCTTCTTCCTCCTTCTTCCCCTTCCTCTTCCTCCCTCCTCCTTCTACCTCCTCCTCTTCCTTCTTCTTCTTCTTTCCCCTTCTTCCCTTTTCTTTCTTCTTCTTCTTCCTACATCTTTCATTTCTTTCAACTTCTTCCTTCTTCATCCCTAACCCTTCCAACATCTATGCAGCCACTCACAATGGCTTCAGCCATTGTACCATTTCTAGTCTTCTTCTTCTTCTTCTTCTTCCACTTCCGCCAGATTTTGGCACTTTTCAACTCTTCAACGCTTTCACCAAATTCAACAAATTATACATCGTTACGACCGGCTTCACCGTCTCATTATTGCTATTACTTTTCACACTTCCACCTTTAGCACTTTTTCAGATATTAACAAAAGTTCAAGCACTTTTTCCCATAGACTTACATTGGACCAGTACAACAGATTACTCCCCATACAACACATTACCACACTAACAATTCATTACCACAGATACAATACATTACAACATCTTACAACACTTACAGCACCTTACAACACATTTAGCACTTTACAACAAATTCAACACATTTAGCACTTTACAACAAATTCAACACCTTACAACACATTTAGCACCTTACAACACATTCAACACCTTACAACACATTTAGCACTTTACAACAAATTCTAACACATTTAGCACTTTACAACACATTCAACACCTTACAACACATTTAACACTTTACAACAAATTCAACACCTTACAACACATTCAGCACCTTACAACAAATTCAACACCTCACAACACATTTAGCACTTTACAACAAATTCTAACACATTTAGCACTTTACAACAAATTCAACACTTTACAACACATTCAGCACTTTAACACAAATTCAACACCTTACAACACATTTAGCACTTAAACACAAATTACACACTTAGCACTTTACAACAAATTCAACACTTTACAACACATTCAGCACTTTAACACAAATTCAACACCTTACAACACATTTAGCACTTTAACACAAATTCAACACCGTACAACACATTTAGCACTTTACAACAAATTCAACACCTTACAACAACACATTCAGCACTTTACAACACTTTCAGCACTTTACAACACTTTCAGCCCCTTACAACACATTCTTCTTACTTCATCTTCTTCACTTCTTCCTCTTCTTCCCCTTCTTTCTCTTCTTTCTATTCTTCCTCTTCTTCCCCTTTTTCCTCTTCTTCCTCTTCTTCCTCTTCTTCCCCTTCTTCCTCTTCTTCCTCTTCTTCCTCTTCTTCCTGTTCTTCCTCTTCTTCCCCTTCTTCCTCTTCTTCCCCTTCTTCTTCCCCTTCTTCCCCTTCTTCTTCTTCCTCCTTCTCTTCCTTCTTCTTCTTTCCTCTTCTTCCCTTTTCTTTCTTCTTCCTTCTTCTTCCCCTTCCTCTTCCTTCTTCATCCCTAACCCTTCCAACATCTATGCAGCCACTCACAATGGCTTCAGCCATTGTACCATTTCTAGTTCTTCTTCTTCTTCTTCTTCTTCCACTTCCGCCAGATTTTGGCACTTTTCAACTCTTCAACGCTTTCACCAAATTCAACAAATTATACATCGTTACGACCGGCTTCACCGTCTCATTATTGCTATTACTTTTCACACTTCCACCTTTAGCACTTTTTCAGATATTAACAAAAGTTCAAGCACTTTTTCCCATAGACTTACATTGGACCAGTACAACAGATTACTCCCCTTACAACACATTACCACACTAACAATTCATCACCACAGATACAATACATTACAACATCTTACAACACTTACAGCACCTTACAACACATTTAGCACTTTACAACAAATGCAACACCTTACAACACATTTAGCACCTTACAACAAATTCAACACCTTACAACACATTTAGCACTTTACAACACATTCAACACCTTACAACAAATTCAACACCTTACAACACATTTAGCACTTTAACAAAAATTCAACACATTTAGCACTTTACAACAAATTCAACACCTTACTACACATTCAGCACCTTACAACAAATTCAACACCTTACAACACATTTAGCACTTTACAAAACATTCTATACCTTACAACAAATTCAATACTTACAACACATTTAGCACTTTACAACAAATTCAACACCTTACAACACATTTAGCACTTTACAAAACATTCTATACCTTACAACAAATTCAATACTTACAACACATTTAGCACTTTACAACAAATTCAACGCCTTACAACACATTTAGCACTTTACAAAACATTCTATACCTTACAACAAATTCAATACTTACAACACATTTAGCACTTTAAAACACTTTCAGCCCCTTACAACACATTCTTCTTACTTCATCTTCTTCACTTCTTCCTCTTCTTCCTCTTCTTCCCCTTCTTCCCCTTCTTCCTCTTCTTCCTCTTCTTCCCCTTCTTCCTCTTCTTCCCCTTCTTCCTCTTCTTCCCCTTCTTCCTCTTCTTCCTCTTCTTCGTCTTCTTCCCCTTCTTCCCCTTCGTCCTCTTCTTCCTCTTCTTCCCCTTCTTCCCCTTCTTCTTTCTCCTCCTCTTCCTTCTTCTTCTTTCAACTTCTTCCTCTTCCTTCTTCATCCCTAACCCTTCCAACATCTATGCAGCCACTCACAATGGCTTCAGCCATTGTACCATTTCTAGTTTGTAATCCCCTTGTTTGGAATGAATCCTGCTTTATCTAACTTTGTTCCATTGCACCGATGCTTGGTCCAACAGAAAGAGAGATCAGAAAACCCCACATGCTGTCTCCTGCCATCCCTGTGAGTCACTATTTGACTGATTGAGTGAGTGTGGTTCTCTCCTTTTCACTGAGACATAAATACTTGCATATGAAATAGAAAGACCAGAGTGAGACCAGAGAGACTGGAGGAAGTCTCTGTTAGCGATCGTATCAGTGGATGGGGCGGGTCCTGGCTCCTAAAAGCCCATCAGCATGACATACCACACTCACTCCAGGCCTGTGGGGGTGTACCCGGAAAGAGAATTATTCAATGCATTTGTATCACGTTTTCTTTCCTCTCAAAACCCTCTTTACAGGATGGTCCAAAAGTGGCTCTTGGTCCAAAGGTGACTCTTGGAGTAGTATTTTTTTTGGACCAGACTTTTGAAAGCACTCGTTAAATGAATGAGGCTAGTGCCGGCTAACACATGCGCAAATGTGGCCCCATCTGTATACAGTTTCTGTTAGCATTGTCCATCTGTATACAGTCTGTGTTAGCATTAGCATCTATATACAGTCTGAGTTAGCATTAGCATCTGTATATAGTCTGAGTTAGCATTGTCCATCTGTATACAGTCTGTGTTAGCATTGTCCATCTGTATACAGTTTCTGTTAGCATTGTCCATCTGTATACAGTCTGTGTTAGCATTAGCATCTATATACAGTCTGAGTTAGCATTAGCATCTGTATACAGTCTGTGTTAGCATTGTCCATCTGTATACAGTCTGAGTTAGCATTGTTGTTGTCACTCCACAGATATTTTGATTTCTGAGTAGAAGTATGTTGTAGCTTTGATCTCTGAGCTCAGAGGCCATCATCAAAATAGTTGAGCCGCGCGGTGTCGTTCTGGTCCTCTTCCCGGGGGAACGTGTGAGTGTGTGTTTGTTTAGTAACACAGGAGCCCGGCGTCAGAGACAGAACCACACTCTGTGAACCACAGACACACGACAGCTGAAGTCAAAGCCAAAGGTCAGAGGTCAAAGTCAGAGACATCAATGTGAAGGTTTTTAAGAGACGCTCATCAATAACCACTGAAGCAAAGGTACATTTATATCACTCTACTCTACTCTACTCTACTCTACTCTACTCTGCTCTGCTCTGCTCTGCTCTGCTCTGCTCTGCTCTGCTCTACTCTACTCTACTCTACTCTGCTCTGCTCTGCTCTGCTCTGCTCTGCTCTACTCTACTCTACTCTGCTCTGCTCTGCTCTGCTCTGCTCTGCTCTGCTCTGCTCTGCTCTACTCTACTCTACTCTACTCTACTCTACTCTACTCTGCTCTGCTCTGCTCTGCTCTGCTCTGCTCTGCTCTACTCTACTCTACTCTACTCTACTCTACTCTACTCTACTCTACTTTGGTCGGTTCTGCTCTGCTCTGCTCTACTCTACTGTGTTTGTGTGTGTGTGTGTGTGTGTGTGTGTGTGTGTGTGTTTGTCTGTGTGTTTGTGAGGGGATGTGTGTGAGTGTGTCTGTGTGTGTGTTTGTGTGTTTGTCTGTGAAGGGATGTGTGTGAGTAAGTATGTGTGTATCCCTGTGTTAGACTGCACTTGTTTTCAACTCCTGGTGGGTTCCATAACCTGAGATTCCACTCACGTCATGGGGACTGGTTTTACGTGGTGGGGCCCGAACACCGGACCCCACTGGTCCAAGCTTAATAATCAATGGGTAATGCTTTTCTAACGGTCCTTATGCAGTCTCTGTAAAAATATGGAAAGGACCCCTGGACGTTTACTTTCCTGAAAAAAGTGTGTTATGTGTCGGAACCCTGGTGGTGGGTTGCGGGATATCAAGGAGGGGCACACTGGGGCAATTTCAGTCCAGCAGGCTGGAGCCAATCATGGAGCAGCACAACAGAGGAAATCAGGTGTCAGGCTAGAAAAGGTGCAAGTGTGTGGTTCATTAGGCACGCTTACAACCCACTGGTAAGTGCTGACTACAAGTCATGACTTCAAATTGTTATATAGAATTATTACAAATTATTTGTTGTTTGTGCAGCTTAGTCAAGAGTCCCTAACTGATGAAGTCGACTCAGATTCTGACGATTTAACTGTCAAGAAGAAACCTGTAAAAAAGTATGGAAAAAGAAAAAATCAAACACTTTTCTTCAAGACTCGGAAAGTGACGAACCAAAGGCAAATAAGATTGTTATCATGCAGCTGCAAAAGAAGAAAAATGGGGGCGAGTTTACAGCAAGAGACACTTCTGCCTCTACTGTTCAATGTCCTGCCACAAAATGTCCCGTCATTTGACTAGAAAACATGGAAATGAAAGTGACGTAGCCAGAGCATTGGCTCTACCTGTGAAATCTAAAGCACGTAAACTTCAGTTTGATTTGATCAGGAATAGTGGAAACCGTGAGCACAATTTTGAGGTTTTAAAGGCCGGCATTGGAACTTTAGTCCCAGCTAAACAGCCAAATTCCCCAGTTAAATCCAGTGAGTTTTTGCACTGTATAGACTGTGGGGCATTGCTTAAGCGAAAGTCGCTGTGGAGGCATGTGGCCAGGTGCCGGCTTTCACAGAAAGATGCCCAGGCTAAACCAGGTAGAAGTAGGGTCCAGTCCCTCTGCTCCCTAGCCCAGCCTGTACCGGAGGGCATCAGCAAAAAGCTGTGGTCTTTAATTTCGGCAATGCATCAGGATGAGGTCACGGGTGTTGTCAAAGCAGAAAAGGGGATTCTGAGACTCGGAGAGCACCTGTACTTAAAACACGGGCATGATAAGACTAAGCATGATTACATTAGGCAGAAAATGAGAGAAGTCGGTAGGTTAATTAACGAAGCAAAAACTGCAGGGAAACTGAAAACAATTAAGGATTTCTTTATTCCTTCCAACTTTAACCATGTGATTGATGCAGTCAGGTCTGTGGCTGGATATGATGAGGAAACAAATCAATACAAGACTCCATCCTTGGCCCTCAAACTCGGCCATAGCCTCAGAAAGCTAGCAGATATTCTTGAATGTGACTCAAAAATGGAGCATTGTGTTGATGAACTATTATTAAAAACCTCCAACGAAGCCGGCTGCTTTTTGAGAAGAGGTGGGACGTCTGTGTTTCTTCTGCTGCCCTACAGACCCTCCGGCAAGCCAAGTGGAACACTCCGGACCTGCTCCCTCTGACTGAGGACGTTAGAGCCATGCATGCACATATTGAGGTATGTCGACCTGAATATGTGCAAACCCTAATAAGTGAGCCAACGTCTAAGCATTGGTCTAAACTGGCAGTTTTGACTCTTTGTGAGGTCATTATTTTCAATCGAAGAAGGGAAGGTGAGGTTTCAAAGATGCCACTGACAGCGTTTACCTTATAAGAAGTAAGACTGGGATCCATTCTGACATTGCTCTGGGACTGTCCGAACTTGAGAAAAAGCTGTGTCAGCATTTTCAACGCATTGAAATTAAAGGGAAAAGAAGTGGGAAAGTGGTGGTTCTTTTGACTCCTGAAATGATTGCTTCGATGGAGGTGCTGGTGGAGAACAGAAGGGCCTGTTCCATCTCTGACCATAACCCATACTTCTTTTCCCGCCCGGGCGCAGACACCCACATCAGGGGATCAGACTCCCTACGCCAGGTAGCCAAAGAATGTGGTGCGGTGCATCCAGAGATGCTATCCTCAACCAAACTTAGAAAGCACATAGCTACTATGTCTACAGTTCTCAATATGAAAGAGAATGAGATGGACATACTTGCCAACTTCCTCGGCCATGACATTCGCATCCACAGACAATATTACAGACTACCAGAGGGGACACTGGAGCTGGCCAAAATCAGCAAAGTGTTGATGGCCATGGAGCAGGGAAGAGTGACGGAATTCGAAGGAAAGAGCCTCGACCAGATACAAATTGAGCCTGAAGGTAATTCTTGATATTATTAAAATATGTATGATGTTTTTCCCCTAAAGGCCACTTGTATTTTTATTTTCTGTGCGACAGGGAGAGCAGTAGAGATCCTCTCACAAACGCCTCACCAGATGACCTTAGACATCGGACATGGAGTGGCATTAAATTCTATGTCAAAAATAGAATCACTGCAATTTGAAAAAAAAATCACAAATAAAATTCCTTTAAAAGAGTTGTTTGTTTTCTATTGACTGTTTTGTATTACTTAAAGTAGTCCCAGTAAAAAAAGATTATGTCTATGGGTCCCATTCTGAACGGCCCTGTCAAAGGGACCCACCAGGTAACAAAAACGTGTGTCGGTCGTGTCTCATGCTGTTGGTGTTAATGTGTGTGTCATTAATCGCAGTCATGTGTTTGAAGGGGACTGTATGTTGTTGCTTCTTGTTTTTGTTGTGTTCAGTTTCGGAGTGACTTCAAAAACATGTTTCCGTTACTGTTATTTCAAAGAATTGTCACTACAGTATTACTGCTTCTGAATTCTAAAGTATTCATTTACTACTGCAATACTTTGAAGTTACTTTCCCCAAATGTACAAATACAAACTATATAACTATACATATAATAGCATTTTCCCCATGGTACTATAATCCACATGGTACTTTTGTACACATGGTACTTTTGTCCACAAGGTACTTTTGTCCCCACATGGTACTTTTGTCCCCACATGGTACTTTTGTCCCCACATGGTACTTTTGTCCACGTGGTACTTTTGTCCACGTGGTACTTGTGTCCACATGGTGCTGCTTCTGCTTCAGCCTCAGCCGTCTTCTGTGTCCAGTCCCTTTCCAAACCATGGGCACAGGTTCTGAAATGCATGGATACAGTAGATATTTATGTATTGTTTCTGTGGTATTCTGAGGGCAGAGGGAGAGTTGTGTGTTGCACCTGCCCCACACCAACAGGAAGTCGTGTTGTGCATCAGTAACTCCTCCCCAGGGTCAGGTTCAGTGAAGGGTTCGAGGCCCAGAGCTCTGAGGCCGTGGGAGAGAGATTACTCGCTCCTCGTTCATTTCACTGGGCGATAATTCACCTTGGCCAATAATAGTCTCCTGAGACACAGTCCTGCGGCGGCTCCGTGTGAAGATGTGAGACGTAAATCCAGGTGAAAAAACACAATAATCTCTGGGCTCAAACTCAAACTTCTGTCTGTAAAGTGTGTCCGGGACTGAACCTCTGAACCAGCTCCTTCCTCACTTCCTCTCGTCTATTTATAAAAGTGTCATAATCATTCTGCACTTTGATAGTAGCAAGTGATCTCACACTCACATGTACTGCATACTTCTGCGTACTTCTGCAGACACACACACTCTGCCGCGGCTGCCAGGGACGGTCCTCACATTTCTGAGCCGTGATTGAAACACATCGAAATATTGTGGCTCACAACAATGAGGCTGAGAATGTTGGATCCGAGCCACAGGTGAAGCACGGGATCAGGGGGAGATGTGGGTCTGAGGGTGAGGGTCTGAGGGTGAGGGTCTGAGGGTGAGGGTCTGAGGCTGCAGGTCTAAGGCTGAGGGTCTGAGGGTCTGAGGATCTGAGGCTGAGGGTCTGAGGCTGCAGGTCTGAGGCTGAGGGTCTGAGATTGAGGGTCTGAGGCTGAGGGTCTGAGGCTGCAGGTCTGAGGCTGAGGGTCTGAGGCTGAGGGTCTGAGGCTGCAGGTCTGAGGCTGAGGGTCTGCTTGTGCCTCACAGCAAGAAAGTCCTGGGTTTGATTCCATCTCCAGGGCTTTCTGTATGGAGTTTGCATGCTCTCCCCATGCCTGCGCGAGTTTCCTCCAGGTGCTCCAGTGTCCCCTTCCTCTAAAAGCATGTAAAATTAGCCTCCCGTAGGCGACCCTGGATTGAGAGACAAATGTAGCTGTGACACTGGTCTGTGAGAGTCGCTAAATACATAAAGATTACTTACTTACACAGAAAGAGACCAGAGAGAGAGACCAAAGAGAGAGAGCAGAGGAGAAACCAAAGAGAGAGAGGGCAGAGAGAGAAACCAAAGAGAGAGAGCAGAGAGAGAACCAAAGAGAGAGAGACCAAAAAGAGAGAGAGAGCAGAGAGTGAAACCAAAGAGAGAGACCAAAGAGAGAGAGAGAGCAGAGAGAGAAACCGAAGAGACCAAAGAGAGAGACCAGAGAGATGAAGCATGTTGTGGGGTTTCTCACTTCCCTGAGTTTCTCTGATCATTTTGAGGAGAGACTTGTAAAAACTTTCATTGGTTTCTCAAAGCTTCAGAGCTAACGTAGCATTGCTAATGTGATGCTAGCGTAAAAAGCTACGTCTGGTTTCAATATTAAAACAATCCGGGGATGACAGTCGGAATACGAGGCTCTGGAGACGCTGTGTTGTAACTGAACGTTGTAAAAAAAACACAAACCGTGGAAAAACAAGATGTCCTCCTTTTATGACAAGTGACAAACGTAAACATGTGATGAACTGGGATCAGAACGAGCCCGACACAAACAGGAAACATGCAACATTTGTTTTGTGTTATCGTCACTTCTCTCACTGCTTCACCAAGAAAATATTACAGAAATACTCTCTTCTAGCCTCTTGCTTGGTGATCTCTCTCTGGTCTCTCTCTGATCTCTCTAGTCTCCCTCTGGTCTCCCACTGGTCTCTCTCTGGACTCTCTCTTGCCTCTCTGGTCTCTCTCTGATCTCTCTCTGGTCTCTCTCTGGTCTCTCTCTGATCTCTCTGGTCTCTCTCTGGTCTCTCTCGGGTCTCTCTCTGATCTCTCCGGGCTCTCTGGTCTCTCTCTGGTCTCTCTCTGATCTCTCTCTGGTCTCTCTCTGATCTCTCTCTTGTCTCTCTCTGGTCTCTCTCTTGTCTCTCTCTGGTCTCTCTCTCTGGTCTCTCTCTGGTCGAGGAGTATAGGTTTAGAGTTGGGGCCAAACTTCACCATGAGCACTTCCCTCTCGAGCCTCGTTGAGCTAGCATGTTAGCATTGTCCATCTGTACACAGCCTCAAACAGACCTCGGTGACACAGAGCGGACTCACGCCTCCATCATCGATGAATATGGATCATTTTCTGCTGCTATTTCTGGTCTTGCTGTGGTCAGTGAGACATCAGGGGTCAGCGGGCAGGTCTTCACTCCGAGGATCAATGGACCATGTGTCTGTGTGTGTGTGTGTGTGTGTGTGTCTATGGTCTGTACGTTAGAATGCAGTGATGACAGAATAAAGAGGGTCACTATCCACGGTCCATAGAATAGAAGTGTACAGACCAGACGAGTCAGAGCGAGGCCCCGGGGACAATCCTGGATGAGCTGTCGTTTTGACTGGTGGAGGATCACAAAGGGCCCAATCAGGGACCAGAAAGAGCAGAGAAAGATCAGAGAGAGGAAAGAGAGAGCCCAGAAAGAGCAAAAAAGTGAGGATTCATTCAAGATATCAGAGAATCAAAGGAAATGCAACAATAAAAATACTGAGGCTGTAGATCCAGGACTGAGGCTGTAGACCCAGGACTGAGGCTGTAGACCCAGGACTGAGGCTGTAGACCCAGGACTGAGGCTGTAGACCCAGGACTGAGGCTGTAGACCCAGGACTGAGGCTGTAGACCCAGGACTGAGTATATAAAAACATTGACTTCAAAACTGCGGAGACAAAAACAGGCAGTAACTGTGAGTGTTGCAGAAAATCCTCTGGAATCTGAGTCTTTGTCTGAGGTCGAGCTGCGTCAAAGTGGTCCCAAAAACAACAACATCTGAGGTGGGTTTAGACGCTGTCAGACTGTACAAAGAACATGACACAGAGGAATCCACACTGAGGACTCCTCTGCCAAGACCCTGAAGAGCACAGAGCGAGACATGTAATGGCACGAGACTCACTGTACGAGAGGAGGAGGAGACCAGGGAGAGAGACCAGAGAGAGCAGAGAGAGAGACCAGGGAGAGAGCAGAGAGAGAGACCAGGGAGAGACCAGTACTTGTCACATCTGTAGAACGTTTCCAGACAGAAAAGTGAAAAGGAGAGGACCACCCTCACTCAGCCAATCAGCTCTCAGCAGAAAATAGTCATTTAGTATTTGTTTTGTATTACAGTAGTAATATTTATTTCAGACTTATATTTGGGCTCCAACCCATTCACAAAATCACACACACACGCACGCACAAATACACACACAAATATTCTCTCACGCACACACTCACACACCTCCTGCTGGGACTCTGAGGAGCACAGGGACTGGCCTCCTGCTGGGACTCTGAGGAGCACAGGGACTGGCCTCCGGCTGGGACTCTGAGGAGCACAGGGACTGGCCTCCTGCTGGGACTCTGAGGAGCACAGGGACTGGCCTCCTGCTGGGACTCTGAGGAGCACAGGGACTGGCCTCCTGCTGGGACTCTGAGGAGCACAGGGACTGGCCTCCGGCTGGGACTCTGAGGAGCACAGGGACTGGCCTCCGGCTGGGACTCTGAGGAGCACAGGGACTGGCCTCCGGCTGGTCCCAGAGTCAGGACTAAACATGTGGAGGCAGTGTTTCAGATCCATGCAGCTAAAAACAGGCTTCTTCTTTGACACTGTTCAGATCCAGGATAAGTTCTTCACTCTTTCTGATTCACTTTTCCTTGTGTTGACTGTGCTATACAATTAAACTCTTTCTAAATCTTCATGAAAGTTGAACTTGGAGGAGGTCATTGACGCCGCAGATGAAAGAGAGGTTTCACTCGCTCTGATTGGATGCTCGCCGCTGGTTCTTTAGCTGTGGTTTGTCTGAGTGTCGCCTCTGGGCCTCGGCTCACGACGGATTCAGTGACGAGAAAAAGATGGAGGGATTATTTTTACTTTCACCAAGTCACTTCTGTCAATAAACATGTACAAAAGAGAGAGAGAGAGAGTAGAGAGAGAGGTAGAGAGAGAGAGAGAGATACAGAGAGAGAGAGAGAAAGAGGGAGAGAGAGAGAGAGAGCAGAGCGAGAGAGAGAGAGAGAGAGAGCAGAGAGAGCAAGAGCAGAAAGAAACAGCAGAGAGAGAGAGTAGAGAGAGAGAGAGAGCAGAAAGAGCGAGAGCAGAGAGAAACAGCAGAGAGAGAGAGTAGAGGGAGAGGTAGAGAGAGAAAACAGAGAGAGCAGAGAGAGACCAGAGAGAGAGAGAATAGAGAGAGAGCAGAGCGAAGAGCAGAGAGAGGCCAGAGAGAGCGATCAGAGAGAGAGCAGAGACTAGAGAGAGAGAGACCAAAGAGAGAGACCAGAGAGAGGGACTAGAAGGACTGTCTCTTCTCTCTCTTGTCTCGCTCTCTCTCTGGTTGAAAACTGCCTGACAGATGCCAAGCAGCAGGGTCTCTCTCTCTCTGCAGCAGTAATAACAACAGTAGTAAATAGCAGCAGCAGCAGAAGTGGGGCGACCATCGGAGACGGCACCATGTGAGAACCCGACACCAGGCCCGGGCTCGGTCTGAAACATGCATCGCCACAGAACATCTCTAAATCGCATTCCACATTCTGAAATCTAATCCGAGGACACACATCCGTGACATAATCCCCGAGACATCTGAACGCCGCGGCAGAGCGGGCTCAGGGCGGGCTCAGGGCGGGCTCAGGGCGGGATCAGGGCGGGATCAGGGCGGGATCAGGGCGGAGTTTTGGGACCTGTTGAAGGACTGAGGCCGCTGATGGTCCCAGACTGCTTATTTTCACATTTATGGAAAGTGGTCTGTCCCTATGGACCAATGGTGTTGATTCATGAGTCTATGTTCTGGTCTCTCATGGTCTCTCTCTGGTCTCTCTCTGGTCTCTCTCTCTGGTCTCTCTCTGGTCTCTCTCTGGTCCCTCTTTGGTCTCTCTGGTCTTTCTCTGGTCTCTCTCTCTGGTCTCTCTCTGGTCTCTCTCTGGTCTCTCTCTCTGGTCTCTCTCTGGTCTCTCTCTGGTCCCTCTTTGGTCTCTCTGGTCTTTCTCTGGTCTCTCTCTGGTCTCTTTCTAGTCTCTCTCTCCCCCCCCCCCCCCTCTATCTCTCTCTCTCTCCCTCTCTCTCTCTCTCTCTCTCTCTCTCTCTCTCTCTCTCTCTCTCTCTCTCTCTCTCTCTCTCTCTCTCTCTCTCTCTCTCTCTCTCTCTCTCTCTCTCTCTCTCTCTCTCTCTCCCTGCGCTCTGTTCTGTTTGCTTCTCTCATCTGTTGTTGGCGAATCCACAACTTCTCTAAAGTCCTCTGAGTCCACACTGCTGTCTGGGACTTGGCTCCGGACAAAAACAAACACCCAGGACTGAAGTGAATAGAATAGTTAGAGAGAGAGAGAGAGAGAGAGAGAGAGAGAGAGAGAGAGAGAGAGAGCGAGCGAGAGAGAGAGAGAGAGCGCGCACGGGCTGCTGCTGTCAGGGGCGGACTCACACTGATCCAAACGTCAGAGTCAGAGTCACACTTGTATAAATCTCTCCATAGAGCTCCGTGCGCCTGCTACCGTGCGGACCCGGACCAGGACCCCAGTCTGGGAACCCTCTCACCCCGCGGAGAAGCGCTTCCACCCCCGGGAGACACAGCCATGGAACCCCCGCAGCCGCGCGTCCGTCCCCCCGGAGCGGACTCCTTGCGCGGCTTGTGGATGTAATGTCACCGCGGGTGTTTTGACGCTGATGGCTTCACGGACTGCGGGAGATGGTGGACATTTCTCGGATTTCAAACCTGGAAACGTAGCATCCAATTAACCCGGAGCTGGTAGTGCGTCTCCCTGGTCCCTGTACCTTTGGACCTTTGGAGACGCTCACCTGGTGCGCCATTTCACGCGTTTGTCCACGGACCGCGTCTCTCTCTTGGTGTGAGACTTGATGTGAGAGTTTATTGTGACTTTTCCCTCTGGACACAAAGAAGAGCTGTCCCGGTGGAATATAAACGCAGACGTCTGGCACGCTTCAGTCCGCATGGGCCGTGTCTGAGGTACCCGCAGCTTTATGGTGTTTTCACGGGTTTGTGTCACGATCAGGGGTCCCCAAAGTTTTCCTCCAAGAGGGACACTACTGTTTGTCAGAACTTTCTCTCTCTCTCTTTCTCTGTTCTCTCTCTGCTCTCTCTCTTTGCACTATGTCTAGTCTCTATCACTCTGGTCTCTCAATCCGTTTTCTCTCTCATTTTTTTCTACTCTCTCTGTTCTCTCTTGAGCTGTTCACTCTCTCTCTCTCTCTGGTGTCTCTCTCTCTTTGGTCTCTTTCTGTTCTTCCTCTCTCTCTCTCTTCTAAAATTAAGATAAATTCATCCAAACTTACGCGTGTTCTCTCTCTCTCTGGTCTCTCTTTCTCTCTCTGGTTTCTCTCTCTCTTCTCTCTCTGGTCTCTCTTTCTCTCTCTGTGTCTGGTTTCTCTGCCTCTCTCTGGTCTCTCTTTCTCTCTCTGTCTCTCTCTCTGTGTCTGGTTTCTCTGCCTCTCTCTGGTCTCTATTTCTCTCTCTCTCTCTGTCTCTCTCTCTCTCTGGTCCCTATCTCTCTCTCTCTGGCCTCACATCCATCCATTAAACTGTTTTTGCGCTTCAACAGTTGTAAAAAGATTCCGCATGTTTGTCCACTGAATCGTTTGTGGAGCTCCTGGTTTCTGAGCTGCAGATGTGAGAGCCCTGTTGTGGCTGTATCAGAAGTAGATCTAGAGTAACACAGAGTATGTAGAGTGAGGGTTGCTCTGTGTTAGTGTCTGCACAATACACCGCATTATAGAGCTCCCATTTCAATCAATGGAATTCTGAAACATCTCTCAAAGTAGTTTTCCACTGGTTTTATTAAAATTAAAGGTATATAGGAGGTTTTTCTACTTCCGGGTGGATCATCAACACTATTGGTCCTCCCAACTGTCTGTAGTGGTACGCGCATACCCACTGGTGGCCAATCACGCTGCGGCAGGGCCTTGATTACGGGAACTAGTTTCACCTGTCGCGTCTCTCTCCTCACCTCTGGCGTCTGCATGCTGCGTGGCGATCTACTTGGCTTCGTGTGCTGGCGTGCGGGCCATCCTTATTTGTTTGGCATTGAGTACATTGCACTTGCGGGTTTTTGCGCTTGCTCAGACCTGTTGTCGGATTTAGAGCGCCTCCTCGGCAGCGGTGCAGGCTTGTGGGCTGCATTAATTCCCTGCAGTGTGTACAAATACGGGGAATGTGAATATTTCCATCTTGTGGTGTGCGCCCCGCCTGGGTTAACGGGCACCTTCACGCTACACTCTAAAACGGCAAGATCTTGATCCGACGAGCCTCCCCTTCTCCCCGTGAGCGGCCCCTTTCAGAGCTTCTCCTTCGGGGCCTCCACTTATGTGACCATCCCTGGGCAACACTCACCCTGCGTTGTGGGCTGTCTACCTGGCCCTTGGACCTACGGCTAACCAGACCACTGATTTTAGCACTCGGACTGGCGCTCTCCCAGGCATACTGGTAACGTTGGTAGGGAGTTTAGTCTATAGGTGAAGATGTAATAACTGCTGCTGCTGTTTCCCCCTGAGGTCACTGTTATTTTGTTTTGTTAAGGTTTATAAAGTATTTTAAGATCTGTGAAAGTGAACATGTGTCCATGACTAATTTAAGAAAATTGTGAAAATAAATATATATTTTTTATAATCCTCTCGTACTCTCTCTCGTACTCTTCAGTCCAACGAACCTTTGTGCCCTTACTGCGGGGGGGGTTATTTTGTGTTACCGCTCGTAACAAGTGGCTATTATTGGTCCTGGGGCCATCTCCCCAGGTGGCGTTGCTGTACATTGGGCTATTATCCAAAAGATTAATTATATTGTTGTACCCTAACCACTACACCGCCACATTCTGGCGTTGCTGGCAGGATAAACCTAAGACCGCGTTTTGTACTCCCTTCGGGCTATTCGAATGGAATAGGATGCCTTTTGGCCTCTGCAACGCGCCCAGCACGTTTCAGAGGCTGATGCAGAGGATTTTTGGGAGTCAACAGGGCCAGTCTTTATTGCTATATCTGGACGATATTGTTGTCTTCTCTTCTGACATCCATCAGCACCTGAGTAGACTGGACGGAGTGTTAAGCAGGCTGTACGCAGAGGGTCTTAAAGTTAAACTTTCAAAGTGTAGTTTTTTTAAGCGTGAAGTTCACTACTTGGGACATGTCATTTCTGGTCAGGGCGTTTCCACCGACCCTGGGAAGATCAAGGCCGTCGTTGATTGGCCCGTGCCCACAACTGTCTCAGAGCTTCGCTCATTCATTGGCTTTGCGAGTTACTATCGTCGGTTTGTGGAAGGGTTTGCGAAGCTAGCCGCACCCTTGCATCGGAAAGTGGCTGAACTATCTGGCAGGTCTAAGAGAGCAGGAAGGTGCGAACTCGAGAGTTGGGACCAGGAGTGCCAGATCAGTTTCGATGAGCTCAAGGCAAAATTCACCAGTGCACCTGTGTTGGCATACGCAGACTTCAGCTTACCGTTCATCCTCGAAGTGGACGCAAGCTTTTGTGGCTTGGGGGCAGTGCTCTCCCAGGAGCAAGGTGGGAGAGTACGACCCATTGCCTACGCAAGTCGGGGGCTGCGAAAGACCGAACGAAACATGTCGAACTATAGTTCGATGAAACTCGAGCTCCTCGCTTTGAAGTGGGCAATAAGCGAGAAATTTAGAGAATATCTTCTTGGTCACAAGTGTGTGGTATACACAGATAACAATCCGTTGAGTCATTTGTTGACCGCAAAGCTTGGTGCTGTGGAGCAGCGCTGGGCTGCACAACTTGCGTCATTTGATTTTGAGTTAAGATATAGGTCTGGCAAAAGCAATGGAAATGCGGACGCACTGTCGCGTCAGAAAGATCCCAGTTCGCAGGACCTGGGTGCTTTGGCCTCTGCCTCGTTGGTTCCACTTTCTTTGCGCCAATCTGCGCCATTGCAAATGGTTGAGGTGACTCAGACTGTGATGGTTGCCTTGCCTAGTCATTCCCCAGGTGATGTCAAAGCCCTCCAGGATTCTGACCCATTAATCCAGGAGGTAGCCTCCTTTTGGAGGCAACATCGATTGCCCAGCGTAAACGAGAAGAAAGTCCTTTCTCCTGCTGCCTTGGTTCTTCTCAGACAGTGGGATCGGTTGGTCGAGAGAAACGATTTGTTGTATCGCAAGTCTTACCGCCCTGACGGTGGCGAGGCAGTGTTCCAATTGCTCTTGCCCACAGCCATGGTTGAGGAGGTTTTGACTCAAGTACACCAAGATCACGGGCATCAGGGGGTTGAGAGGACCCTGGCCCTGCTACGTTCACGCTGTTACTGGCCAGGAATGGCCAAGGCAGTTAGACAGTGGTGCGGGCAATGTGAGCGTTGTCAGATTGCCAAGGACTCCCGTCCCCCAGCTCGTGCTTTCATGAGCCATCTTCTGGCCTCCAGGCCTAACGAAATCATTGCTCTCGACTTTACTCTGTTGGAACAGTCCCGGAGAGGGCTTGAGAACGTGCTTGTCATTACAGACGTGTTTAGCAAATACACGTTGGCCATTACAACGCGTGATCAGCGTGCAATGACCGTTGCTGAGGTTCTTGTTTCTGACTGGTTCTCCAAATTTGGCGTACCATCTCGAATTCATTCAGACCAAGGACGTAGCTTCGAGAGCCTTCTAATGCAGCAACTCTGCCGGCTGTATGGTATCACCAAATCTCGAACAACTCCTTACCACCCAGCAGGAAACGGACAGTGCGAGCGATTCAATCGCACCCTGCACAACCTCCTTCGCACTTTGCCTCCATCAAGAAAGCATGACTGGTGCGCTTGTCTGCCCCAAGTACTTTACGCGTACAACACCACGCCTCACCAATCCACAGGGGAATCTCCCTTCTACTTAATGTTTGGTCGGGAACCAAGACTACCAGTCGACTTCTTGTTAGGCCAGGTCGAAGATCCTCTTGGTGGTGATCCCCACGAGTGGATTTTGGAACATCAAACCCGACTGCAATTAGCTTTCGAGGGAGCTAGGGAACGGTTAAGGCTTGCGGCAGAGCGTCGCAAAGTGCCACACGATCAGGCGGTACGTGATGAACCCTTGCCGGAAGGAGGAATGGTCCTGGTCCGCAACACTGGTGTGAGGGGTCGTTGCAAAATCCAGGACCTGTGGTCATCAGTTCCACAGATCGTCCTGCAAGCTCCAAGGGATGGTGGGGCAGTATACACCATTGCCCCAGTGGATGACCAGACGAAAGTAAAGAGAGTCCACCGTTCTTTAGTCAAGGCTTGGGCTGGAGCGAATCCTTTTGAGGGTGTGCCACGCCAATCAGCGGTCAGCAATCTCCGGCCGGGTGACGAATCATCTGGGGATGAGGACTTGTGTTACGTGACACCTGGACCGGGTGGCTCTGTTGGGCCGGGGCCCTCGCAGTTGGGTCCGGCACCTGTACGGGAGTTGGAAGAGCTGGTTGCTGGACCCTCGGCCAGACAGAGACCATCTTCACCTGGTCAGTCTTCAGCGGCTAGGTCAGTCGATACGAGTATTAGGAGATCTGCACGCCCCACAGCTGGTCGTCACCCTAACCCTCATAATTTGCCTCGGTCTGCGTTGGGCACCTAACCCATTTTGTATTTGGAAACTGCTGTCCTATTCAGCTGAAACTAAGATCGATCGCCGGGTCGACGATCCAATTGGGGGGGGTAGAGTGTAGTGGTACGCGCATGCCCACTGGTGGCCAATCACGCTGCGGCAGGGCCTTGATTACGGGAACTAGTTTCACCTGTCGCGTCTCTCTCCTCACCTCTGGCGTCTGCATGCTGCGTGGCGATCTACTTGGCTTCGTGTGCTGGCGTGCGGGCCATCCTTATTTGTTTGGCATTGAGTACATTGCACTTGCGGGTTTTTGCGCTTGCTCAGACCTGTTGTCGGATTTAGAGCGCCTCCTCGGCAGCGGTGCAGGCTTGTGGGCTGCATTAATTCCCTGCAGTGTGTACAAATACGGGGAATGTGAATATTTCCATCTTGTGGTGTGCGCCCCGCCTGGGTTAACGGGCACCTTCACGCTACACTCTAAAACGGCAAGATCTTGTGTAGATCCGACGAGCCTCCCCTTCTCCCGTGAGCGGCCCCTTTCAGAGCTTCTCCTTCGGGGCCTCCACTTATGTGACCATCCCTGGGCAACACTCACCCTGCGTTGTGGGCTGTCTACCTGGCCCTTGGACCTACGGCTAACCAGACCACTGATTTTAGCACTCGGACTGGCGCTCTCCCAGGCAGACTGGTAACGTTGGTAGGGAGTTTAGTCTATAGGTGAAGATGTAATAACTGCTGCTGCTGTTTCCCCCTGAGGTCACTGTTATTTTGTTTTGTTAAGGTTTATAAAGTATTTTAAGATCTGTGAAAGTGAACATGTGTCCATGACTAATTTAAGAAAATTGTGAAAATAAATATATATTTTTTATAATCCTCTCGTACTCTCTCTCGTACTCTTCAGTCCAACGAACCTTTGTGCCCTTACTGCGGGGGGGGTTATTTTGTGTTACCGCTCGTAACAAGTGGCTATTATTGGTCCTGGGGCCATCTCCCCAGGTGGCGTTGCTGTACATTGGGCTATTATCCAAAAGATTAATTATATTGTTGTACCCTAACCACTACACCGCCACATGTCAATCATTCTCGTGACACGCGCTCGTCAAATAAGACAAGAGTTATTTTCAAAAATGTAGAGGGCGATTCTTTCCTAAAATATAACTATAAACGTTTACGCAATCAGGTAAGTAAAAACAATTAGTACGTTTTATATGTGTTCTTAAAAGGTGTTTGTATTAACACAACAAAAGCAATTTACAGAAATTGCAAGGACAATAAACAGACAATAAAAAGTCTCACAGTTCTGCACCAAAAACGAACATATTTGAGTTGTACCTGAAGTAATTTTTCCATATAGCGCACGTGCCTCATCACCGTCATATCCTCGCGCACAATAAAATAGGTCCAGATGGGGAATAATAATGTCATTCACTAATAAATAAAAAAAATCCTCTTACAGTATAGTGAACCAGCGCGTGCCATACCCTCGCGCTCCTGGTCCGTAGTTCCACATGGTTTGTGTTGGTGCAGACTCAACACGGCATGAGGCAGACGCACGTAACCATAAAGAGGGGACCATCTGGCAGCGTGACTCTGGTTTAGGCTCCGGGAGCTCGGTGCGTGCTCTGATCAGCGGCCGCCGTGCCTCTAATCTGCTCCGGACACGTCAAAGTGGTGCTGGAGCAGGGTTTCTCCCTCTTTCACATATGTGCTCACATGCCACGGTTATTAGGCTTCAGGAGGAAGGACAGAGATGGTCCCGGACAAGTATGGTCCCTTATGTCTCTGTCTGCTCTCTCTCTCTCTCCCTCTGGTCTCTCTGGTCTCTCTCTTTTTGGTCTCTCTCTCCCTCTGGTCTCCCTCTCTCTCCCTCTGGTCTTTCTCTGATCTCTCTCTCTCTCACTGGTGGTCTTTCTCTGGTCTCTCTCATAGTATTTCTCTCTCACTGATCCCTCTCACTGGTCTCTCCCTCTCTCTCTGGTCTCTCCCTCTCTCTCCGGTCTCTCTCTGGTCTCTCTCACTCTCTATTTGGTCTCTCTCTCTGGTCCCTCTCTCCTGTCTCTCTCTGGTCTCTCTCACTCTCTCTTTGGTCTCTCTCTCTGGTCTCTCTCCGGTCTCTCTCTGGTCTTTCTCACTCTCTCTTTGGTCTCTCTCTCTGGTCTCTCTCCGGTCTCTCTCTCTGGTCCCTCTCTCCGGTCTCTCTCTGGTCTCTGTCACTCTCTCTTTGGTCTCTCTCTCTCTGGTTTCTCTCTCTGGTCTCTCTCTCCGGTCACTCTCTGGTCCCTCTCTCCAGGCTCTCTCTCTCTCTCTCCGGTCTCTCTCTCTGGTCTCTCTCGCTCTGTCTCTTTCATGCCGCTGCCTTAAGGCTGAAAGAGTAATGAGTTTCTTATAACTCACGACAATTGTGTCTTCTGGCACATTCAGACATGTTGGAGGCAGAACCAGCATCAGGCATGTCCAAACTAAGGCCCGCGGGCCAAACGAGGACGCTGTGTCATGTAGTGTGGTTCTATAGCACAAAATAGCATTGAGGTATTTACACAGTGTCACCCAGCCAACTCCAGCTCCAACAATGTAGCCATGACCCAGGGCGGAGGCTGTAGACCCAGGACTGAGGCTGTACCCCCAGGGCCGAGGTTGTAGACCCAGGACCGAGGCTGATCTCATGGTGCAGACGATAAAAACAAAACACGATTTAGTTTCAGGTTAATTTCAGGAATGAAAATACGATGTAAGTCCCAACACTGGACATAGATCCACATAGTCCCTGATGTAAGAGAAGAGTCCGAGCCAAAAGCAAAGTGGGATCAAAGGCTGTGGACGCCATGACACAAAGATATTAGTAGTAAGTAAGTAAGTAAGCTTTATTTATATACCGCCTTTCACAGACCAGAGTCACAAAGCGGTTTACAATTGTTATTTTTTTTGGGCACTTGTCCTCTCACTCCACACAGAGATACAACATAATACAACATGAGTCACATCGCAGTCACTCACAAACAGACAGGTTTATTTGTATGGCACAGTTCATACACAAGGCGGAGAGGAGAGAAGAGACAGAGATCACAGGCATTAACGCTGGAACTCCAATTCAGACGCAAATGTTTCGTTTTCCACCAGATTTATCAAAAGTGAGTCAATTCATACGTGTTATTCCCTTTACTCCCTTTTAATAAATGCTAAAACTGGTGAGTGTAACTGAAATAAACCAAAAACAATTGGTTGAAAGGCTAATGCTAAATGCTAATGCTAACGGCTGACAGTAAACAGTATGTTGCTATGGTAACTAGCACTGGCTCTGCTGGAAAACCAAACTGAACCAGGACCAGACTTTGGACCAGAAGCAGCACCATGAAAGAGAGACTGCCATAGAATATTGGTTGCCATAGCGACAGAAAATGGCTAAAGTTGAAGTTACCTGTTCTGCCGTTCATAATTTGGCTTATCTAGAACAATAACCACACTGCTGTTTCCTTTTCCAGGCTTTATTCCCTGTGGTGCTGTGAGAGTGGTACAACTGAAATAAATAAATAAAAGCAATCTTAAAGTTGTGCATTCAAAAAACATTATACAAACATGTAACACTGTCAAGGTGCTGCTGAACCAATACAAGGCTAATGCTAATGTTAGTGGTAGCATTCTAACGGCGCTAGCAAACGGCGTTAGCTAATTAAACAACCCCGGAATAAACAAAAATTGGGAAAAATAATACGCAAGCCTACTCAAGTGCTAACACGGAAACAAAGAAACTCAGAGGCTGTGCTGGTTTAATATATACAGTCTATGGTTCAAACACAGTAAACTGGAGCTGAATCATGTGAGGTGGTATCACCATGGGTGGTATGTATGGTGACAAATAGCTACTTCTGGTTAGCCAGGAAGTCACTCAAAGTTCGCCAAAACAAAAGTATATGCATACGAAAATAAATAATTTTCCAATGGCTCATAAAGAGCCAGAAAGTTACCTGTTAAATAATAGATAAAAGTCACGTTACAAAATGTGTTTTTAATATATTACACTCCACATATCTGCCCCAGGAGTTAGTGCTCAGACCATAAATAAGATACAATCCTTCAGCAGGATGTGAACATTGTCAGAGAAGAAGTCTGTCTCACATTTTCAGGAAGACTGTTCCAGATTTTAGCTGCATGAAGGTCAAACGCTGCTTTGTATAGTCCTGAATCTGGGACCAGCAGGAGGCCAGTCCCTGTGCTCCTCAGAGTCCCAGCAGGAGGCCAGTCCCTGTGCTCCTCAGAGTCCCAGCAGGAGGCCAGTCCCTGTGCTCCTCAGAGTCCCAGCAGGAGGCCAGTCCCTGTGCTTTTACCCTGTGTTCTAAAGCCTGTCTCTCTCCACAGGTTTCTTCTTAGGACCTGAGTCTAAGATGAAGTTATGGGATGTTTTGGCCACATGTTTGTTGCTGAGCTCCGTCTCCTCTTGGCCTCTGTTCCCAAACCCTCGTCCCGCTAAAAGCACCTCCTCCTCCAGCAGCACCTCCTCCTCCAGCAGCAGTGAGTCCCTGTCCCTGTCCGAGGAGGAGAGCGAGGAGGCGCAGTATCACAGGGATCACCTCCCTCTGCATGGAATCCTCATGGAACATCAGAGTAAGCCTCTCTGTGTCAGCTCTATGTGTGTGTCCACATGGTCTGTGTGTGTCCACATGGTCTGTGTGTGTCCACATGGTCTGTGTGTGTCCACATGTTCTGTGTGTGTCCACATGTTCTGTGTGTGTCCACATGGTCTGTGTGTGTCCACATGTTCTGTGTGTGTCCACATGGTCTGTGTGTGTCCACATGTTCTGTGTGTGTCCACATGGTCTGTGTGTGTCCACATGGTCTGTGTGTGTCCACGTGTTCTGTGTGTGTCCACGTGGTCTGTGTGTGTCCACATGGTCTCTGTGTGTGTCCACATGGTCTGTGTGTGTCCACGGGGCCTGTGTGTGTCCACATGGTCTGTGTGTGTCCACATGGTCTCTGTGTGTGTCCACATGGTCTGTGTGTGTCCACATGTTCTGTGTGTGTCCACATGGTCTCTGTGTGTGTCCACATGGTCTGTGTGTGTCCACATGGTCTCTGTGTGTGTCCACATGGTCTGTGTGTGTCCACATGGTCTGTGTGTGTCCACATGTTCTGTGTGTGTCCACATGGTCTGTGTGTGTCCACGTGGCCTGTGTGTGTCCACATGGTCTGTGTGTATCCACATGGTCTTTGTGTGTGTCCACATGGTCTGTGTGTGTCCACATGGTCTGTGTGTGTCCACATGTTCTGAGTGTGTCCACATGTTCTGTGTGTGTCCACATGGTCTGTGTGTGTCCACATGTTCTGTGTGTGTCCACATGGTCTCTGTGTGTATCCACATGGTCTGTGTGTGTCCACATGGTCTCTGTGTGTGTCCACATGGTATCTGTGTGTGTCCACATGGTCTCTCTGTGTGTCCACATGGTCTGTGTGTGTCCACATGGTCTCTGTGTGTGTCCACATGGTCTGTGTGTGTCCACATGGTCTCTGTGTGTGTCCACATGGTCTCTCTGTGTGTCCACATGGTCTGTGTGTGTCCACATGGTCTCTGTGTGTGTCCACATGGTCTGTGTGTGTCCACATGGTCTCTGTGTGTGTCCACATGGTCTCTCTGTGTGTCCACATGGTCTGTAGAGTAATTTTTATTCTAAAACTCTGAGATTTCGTGTTAAACAAATGTGCTGCACACATTTCCTCTGTGTTTACGTTTCACTTTTGTCTCCAAATGGATCACACACTTCAACCTTTACCCATCTGCCCCGAGAGAGGGGAGGAGAGAGGAGGAGAGAGGAGGAGAGAGGAGGAGAGAGGAGGAGAGAGGAGGAGAGAGGAGGAGAGAGGAGGAGAGAGGAGGAGAGAGGAGGAGAGAGGAGGAGAGAGGAGGAGAGAGGAGGAGAGAGGAGGAGAGGGGGAGAGGAGAGGGGGAGAGGAGAGGGGGAGAGGAGAGGGGCAGAGTTGAGGCAGGACCTCTGAGGCATTCAGCTGAAGTGTGTTTATTCTACATTCTGACAGCGACTGTGGGCAGGAATTTATATTGTTTGGATCAATGTGACTCTGGAGTCTGCAACACGACCAGCTCCAAAAGGACTGGAACTTACTGCTTCATCTGCTGTTTAGAGAAGGCTGTAGACCCAGGACTGAGGCTGTAGACCCAGGACTGAGGCTGTAGACCTAGGACTGAGGCTGTAGACCCAGGACTGAGGCTGTAGACCCAGGACTGAGGCTGTAGACCCAGGACTGAGGCTTTAGACCCAGGACTGAGGCTGTAGACCCAGGACTGCGGCTGTAGATACTGTTTAACACTGGTGCGGCATGTGGACCTGTCAAACTTGTTGATGGTCTTGTTTGCGGTGTTTGCTCTGGATCAAAGGGCAGCTGTGTCCAATCAGATCGGCCGCACTCACATGAGACAGAGGCAGCGACCAATCAGAGATCAGGTGTCGACTGAAGCGGAGCAGAGAGCGACAGGTGACACTGCATCAGAGACTCAGGTGTAAACCACAGAGACAGATGTCAGACCTGGCGCCCCCTGCTCTCACTTGGCACCCGCTGCTCCACTGACACACTGACACAAAGGAGTCAGACTAACACGAGCCCGGAGGCGACTGTTGCCAAAACCTGCAGCGGAATCCCCTCCACATGAGGAGGAGTTTATAAGAATTAATATTCATAAAAATGATTATTTTAATGCATGGATTTTTCCTGCGCTTTTTGGGACTCGCAAAGTCTCTTCTCTGCATAATTCTTTCACTCCAAACACAGTGGTGATAAACTACTATTGAAGTCACAGCTGCCTTGGGACACACTGACAAAAGCAAGGCAACCAGTCTGTGCTATTGGCCCCTTTTGTCTTGCCTGGACTTCCCTGTGTGGTTTCAGAGGTCTGACTGGATCTGGCTGCTCTGACTGCCCCAGATATGTACTGTTTGTGTGGTGAGAGGAAAGAGGAGACCATTACGTTCATTTGAGGGTTCTGTCGATGGTTCGGTTGATGGTTCGGCTGATGGTTTGGTCGTGCTTTACAGATAATGGTTCCATAAGATTGACCAGCATAAACAGATTTAAATGTGGAGAGACTTTCTCAGGAGATGGTGTGACGTGAGTGCGATGGTTGTAAACAATGCAACTCTGAAGACAATAATGTGAGATCGTATTTATGTAACTTTACGGGATAAACGTGGTTCAGATTTGGCGCTTAGACCTCGGCAGAGCTCTGGGGGATGCAGAAGGATGAGAACGGAGACTATGAGGTGAAATCTGCCGGGACCTAGACCCTGGTGGTGGGAGCGAGGAGGAGGGCCACAGAGCAGGTCCGACCGAGCAGGCGTTGATGGGGAGGAGGAGGGTTGCTGCACAGATGAACCATATGAGGCTTGGATGCAGCTGAGTGTGAGTGACTGATGCATCATGGGAGGACTGAGCTTCCAGACCCATGGATCTATTATAATAACTGGATAGGGTATTACTAGCTTGGAGCTGAATAACTCATGTGCTCAGGGGATTCTCGCGGTACTGCAGACTGAACCAGACTAAATTCACGTGGGCTACACAGAATTTTCCCCATAGAACTCAATGCATATTAAAACAGCTCAACCTCAGCTGACAGAGAACCTGACAGAGAACCTACAGCTTTAATAAAGGTCGGATTTTGTGGGGATTTTAGTGTCCCTTGTCACCCTGAACTTTTTTTCTTCTTAAATCCTTCGGTTTTGTTTAAATCCACACTTTAGTGCCACAAACTCTGTTCGTCTGGCTCTCGCTCTAACTCCCGCTCTGATGAACTGCTCTGATTGGTCAGAGCGCGGCCGAGCCCCTCTGTGCACGTGCGTGAGACCCGGTGTGAGACCCACACACGCGTGTTTGGCGCAACGCATTATGGGAGATCATCCACTGCACAGAACCGGGAGGACCAGACGATGCCCAAATACAGGCGAGTTTCCCATAGATCTTTGCGAGTTTCAGGCAACTTCCGCTAATCTTTCAGCCCCCATGCCGTCACAAAGCGCCACTGAGCACAACCATTCATTTGAATAGGGCGCCATCTTGGATCACCGGGGCTTGTCCAGACCAAACCTCGGCTTTAGCTTCTGTATTTCGGCTTCATAGAGAGATCGACAAACAGATACTATACTGATCCCTGAGAAGCAGATGTCCAGAAACAGAAACACATCCAAACAAACAAATAAACACATCGTTCTAAAACAATCGTCATAAAGTGCAGCAGCAAAGTCTGCTCGGTTTGGACCATTTCCTCTACTCTGGTTCAGAGTGAAGTTCTGAACGTTTTAGTAGCATCTTTCAAAAACACCAGCAACTGTTTCAGAGTGACTCAGGACTCGTTGCCGTTTCCAGTTCATTTAAAAGTAAATTATGGGTCGAACAAAAGAGTGAATACCTCTGAAGCTTTAACTGCTCTGTCTCCTCTGTCTCTGTCTGTGTCTGTCTGTGTCATTTCTAAAGCAGCTTTTCTTTTCTTCCACAGACGACGTGAGGAGCCCGTACCCCTCTCACCTCCAGGACGTGATGGAGTTTATCGAGTCAACGATCGGACGACTGAGGCGGTCGTCAGAGGCCGGGGGAGACAGACAGAGACACAGAGGAGCGGGAGACAGAGACAGAGACAGAGGCAGAGACAGAGACAGAGACAGAGACAGAGACAGAGACAGAGACAGAGGCAGAGACAGAGACAGAGACAGAGGAGCATCAAACAGAGACAGAGACAGAGGCCACAGCGACCGCCGTAGAGGGCGCTCTCGAGCCCGCGGGGGGAAGTCCAACCGTGCAAACAGAGACAAAGACAAGACGGTGGCGGTGGCGGGACGAGGCTGTCTGCTCAAAGAGGTGCACCTGAACGTCACGGACCTGGGGCTCGGGTACCAGACCAAAGAGGAGCTGATCTTCCGCTACTGCTCCGGCCCCTGCGTGGACGCCGAGAGCAACTACGACAAGATCCTGAACAACCTGACGCACAACAAGAAGCTGGACAAGGACTCTCCTGCGCGGACATGCTGCCGCCCTGTGGCCTTCGACGACGACCTGTCCTTCCTGGATGATAACGTGGTCTATCACACACTGAAGAAGCACTCTGCTCGGAGCTGTGCCTGTGTGTGAGCGACCTGCAAAGACACACAACCTGAGGATATGTGTGTGAGCGACCTGCAGAGACACACAACCTGAGAATATGTGTGTGAGAGAGAGACACACAACCTGAGGATATGTGTGTGAGGGACTTCGAGAGACACACAACCTGAGGATATGTGTGTGAGCGAGAGACACACAACCTGAGAATATGTGTGTGAGAGAGAGACACACAACCTGAGGATATGTGTGTGAGAGAGAGACACACAACCTGAGGATATGTGTGTGAGGGACTTCGAGAGACACACAACCTGAGGATATGTGTGTGAGGGACTTTGAGAGACACACAACCTGAGGATATGTGTGTGAGAAAGAGACACACAACCTGAGGATATGTGTGTGAGGGACTTCGAGAGACACACAACCTGAGGATATGTGTGTGAGAAAGAGACACACAACCTGAGGATATGTGTGTGAGCGACCTGCAGAGACACACACATCAGGACATTCTGAGGAACTCTCACAATCACAGCTCTCCTCTCCCTGGATCACATGACCAGTCCTGGATCACATGACCAGTCCTGGATCACATGACCAGTCCTGGATCACATGACCAGTCCTGGATCACATGACCAGTCCTGGATCACATGACCAGTTCGGGATCTTATCAAACTCAAAGAACACAATTTCTTCTTTGAATTTTTGAACGTTCTGATTTTTGGATTGATAGTTTCCCGACCCAGACCCGGACTCAGACCAAGAGTCTGGGTCCGGGTCCTGAGCAGAGACAGAGCACAGGAGCCGGACGCCGCTTCACTCTGAACGTTTACATTTGGAGCCGCGGACGAGGAGTAGCGTAAACAAACTCTAACATAAATACTGACTGATACAGAGTGAAGAGGATTATTTATTAAGAAAGCATTAACTTATTCTTATTTATTTATGTTCATTTTATCAGAAACCTGTATTTATTGAATCGCTTCAGGACTTCACACCGATCCCTGCGTCACCCTTTCATACTGATTCCAGGTTTTCACCTTTTCTGTAACAAAGCAGTGTGTGCGTGTGTGTGTGTGTGTGTGTGTGTGTGTGTGTGTGTGTGTGCGTGTGTGTGTGCGTGTATGTGGAGGAGGTATGAGGGACCAACGCATGTTTTTGGAAGTTGGATCGATAAAATCACTATATACAAAACCCTGTTTCCACCTACTCTACTCTACTCTACTCTACGCTACGCTACTCTACTCTACTCTACTCTACTCTACTCTACTCTACTCTACTCTACCCTACCCTACCCTACGCTACTCTACTCTACTCTACTCCACCCTACTCTACTCTACTCTACTCTACTCTACTCTACACCAACCCTACTCTACTCTACTCTACTCTACTCTACTCTACTCTACTCTACTCTCTACTCTCTACTCTCTACTCTCTACTCTACTCTACTCTACTCTACTCTACTCTACTCTACTCTACTCTACTCTCTACTCTCTACTCTCTACTCTCTACTCTACTCTACTCTACTCTACTCTACTCTACTCTACTCTACTCTACTCTACTCTACTCTACCCTACCCTACCCTACCCTACCCTACCCTACCCTACCCTACCCTACTCTACTCTACTCTACTCTACTCTACTCTACTCTACTCTACTCTACTCTACTCTACTCTACTCTACACCAACCATACTCTACTCTATTCTACTGTACTCAATCCTACTCTTCTCTCCTCTACCCTACCCCACAAATATTTGGGTGAATTCCTTGGTAACCATGGCTTCCAGCATCGTTCTGGCCGATGACTGTTAGAACACATTAGTACCAGCTCGGCCTGGATAGAACCAGGACCAAGAGGGACTAAAGAAGGACCTGGTACTGGTTGCACAGAATATAATAGAGTAAAGTAGAGTACAGCAGAGTAGAGTAGAGTAGAGAATTGCTGCAGCTTTGACATAATCTTAAGACTCTTTACTGTACTTTAATTCTGCTTTAAGATTGTTACAATGGTTTCCTGCGTCTTGACAGTTGTGAGGATTAGAACCAAGGTATCTACCGCCTCAGCTTTAGATTCTAATCCCTCAAACACAAATCCAGGGCATCAGGATGAAATCAGGCCAAAAGCTGCAGAGAGAGTATTTATCGTTGTGTACCTCATGGATCCTCTTCAGTCCTGAACCATGGATCCTGAACCATGGATCCTGAACCATGGATCCTGAATGTTTGCTGTCTGTATGTTTCTCTACTTTCTCTGGTATGTTTCTCCTGTTATTCGCCGTCTCCATTGTTTTGTTACAGAACCAAAGCTCTCTGCAAACTTTATTTTTGTACAATATTCATTTTATAACTTTTTACAGAATTAAAATTGTTTCTATAAAAAAAAATTGAAAAGGTCTTGTCTCTCGGTGTCGCGTCATAGAGAGCGTGTTAGCAGTGGACTGACAGAGTGTGACATCACCACGGTGTTGGAGGCCGAAAACAAGCTGGAGCCAGTTTCCTTATATGGGCATTTGTTCTGACGGCGCGAGCCATATGATGATTGACCAATCAGAGGGCTTCATTCACGGGGGAAACTCCAGCTTTCCTTAGCAACCGTCGTAGCAACACGTCCGCTCCTGCCCATATAAGGTAAGTGGCTCCAGCTAGCTTCAGTTCGAATCAGCTTCTTCTGCAGTTACTGAGCTAGAGGAGTTTGCGTGTCAAGTATGAGCCAGAGCTAGCATGTTAGCACTGTCCGTCTGTGTACAGTCTATGCTAACAGTGCAGGCTTTAGAAGTCAGGCCAGATGGAGCTAATTATAGAAGTGGTTATTTACACAATTGTCGTGTCAAATTAGGGATTGAAAATTGCGGTGAGAGTGAAGTGTATGGGGCGTGTTTCCGAGTGTGTGCGTGTGCATGTTTGTGTGTCTCTGCTTCTGTATGTGTGTGTGTGCATGTTTGTGTGTCTCTGCTTCTCTGTATGTATGTGTGTGTGTCTCTGCTTCTGTGTGTGTGTGTCTCTGCTTCTGTATGTGTGTGTGTGCATGTTTGTGTGTCTCTGCTTCTGTGTGTGTGTCTCTGCTTCTGTATGTGTGTGTGTGCATGTTTGTGTGTCTCTGCTTCTCTGTATGTATGTGTGTGTGTCTCTGCTTCTGTATGTGTGAGTGTGTGCATGTTTGTGTGTCTCTGCTTCTGTGTGTGTGTGTGCATGTTTGCGTGTCACTGGTTCTGTGTGTGTGTGCATGTTTGCGTGTCTCTGCTTCTGTGTGTGGGTCTCTGCTTCTGTATGTGTGTGCATGTTTGCGTGTCTCTGCTTCTGTATGTGTGTGTGCATGTTTGTGTGTGTCTACTTCTTTCTGTGTGTGTCTCTGCTTCTGTATGTGTTTGTGTGTCTGCTTCTCTGTGTGTGTGTACATTCCAGAGCAGGGTCATACAGTAAACAAAAGCTTGCTGTAAATTTAGAGCCACGATGCAGTAAATCTTTTCTTGGAGCTGAAGAAACTCTGTCCTGAGGATTCGTGTGTGTGTGTGTGTGTGTAAACAGCCACTGAGCTACAGGAGTTCACTTTTACATGTAAGGAGTTAGAGCGATTTGGAACCACTCTTCATCTATGAGCTCTTTCCCATTAGCGTCATTGAGCTAGCATGTTGGCAGAGTCCATCTGTGTCTAACCTGCAGAACAAGTGTCTTCATATGTAGCTTTCTGACCAGATCAAGTCATGAGTTTCATAATTAAGTAGTTCAAAGAGTAGTTTTGAACCCTTATATTTATGCCATAAAATGAAAGATAACATTATTCAGGCACAATTCATACATTTTCAACCCCAGGTCCAAAGTTTTGCTTTGTTCTGACCTAAATGTGGAGAACCAGCCTCGGTCCTGGGTCTACAGGACTGGCCTCAGTTCTGGGTCTACAGCCTCAGTCCTGGGTCTACAGCCTCGGTCCTGGGTCTACAGCCTCAGTCCTGGGTCTACAGCCTCGGTCCTGGGTCTACAGCCTCAGTCCTGGGTCTACAGCCTCAGTCCTGGATCTACAGCCTCAGACCTGGATCTAGAGCCTCAGCCTCAGACCTGGATCTAGAGCCTCAGCCTCAGTCCTGGGTCTAGAGCCTCAGCCTCAGTCCTGGGTCTACAGGGTGTGTCTCTCTCTGACGTCGGCCTGATCTTGAGCCTCTTTAAGCATCGTCCATTGTTCTTTTCCCTCTGACTTTGTTTCATATGATTTTTATGGTCACAGGATCTGAGCCAAAAGCGAGACATCGAGTCTGTTTGTGATTTCTGCTGCCTTTGTGTGAGTGTGTGTTGCTATTTGGCCAATTGTTAGAAAAATGTCAAACTCAAGTCAAAAATGCGATGCACACATTTGTCTGCTGGTCTGTAGTTTCAAAGTGGGAGGAGCTTAATTTTATTGTGATTTGCATAAAACACAAATACATCAGTAATTCTAAAGCAGAGCTATAAAGAAGGCTGCTTCTTGAAATTAATAGATTATATAAAGAGACCAGAGAGAAACCAGAGAGAGACCAGCGAGAGACCAGGGATGGCATTTTCTTAAAATATTTTTAGTTTAAAATCGCTAAAACCAATCTTCTCGTGTCAAAACAATCTTTCGGATCATTCACAGATATCTTTATTCTCTGGAGCGAAGAACAAAGCTTTGGATCAGATAAAGGGTCAAACCATGTGGTATTCCTCCTGGTACCAGTATCAGAGTGTTCCACATAGTTGGCAGCAGCCGGACTCACGATCTGGAGCAGATTTACGAGGAACGAGTTTTCTCCAGAAAACGCGATAAAGACAAAGACGATAGAATGCAGAGAACGGACTAAAAGCCAAAAGTGTTTTATTGGTTAATGAATCTGGGACCTGAAAGCTACGCAACCAGTAAAAATATATATACACCTCTGGACTGACACACAACTATGGAATCCACTGTGTGTGTTTGTGGTGATGTCACACTCCTAGTGTATGCTCCATGGTACAGCGTTAGCCTTAATGCGGAAGAAGCTGATTTGAGCATAAGCTAGCTGGACCCTATTTACTTATATGGGCATTTGTCCTGCGGGGTTAGCTTCGTGCTAGCAGGGGCAAACATGTTGCTAAGACGGTTGCTAAGGCAAGCTGTAGCTTCCCACAACGTTGGAGTAATCTGATTGGTCAGTCCTAGTATGGCTCACATCGGGATCAACAAAGATATTATCACATATAAACACCGGGATCACGGAGAAACCACAGATTTAAGCCCAAAATGTTGAGTGTGACGCCAACGTTACAGAGCTAGAGGAGTTTACTTTTACATCTGCGTCAATAGGAGCCAAACTTCGCCCATGAGCACTTCCTTGTTGGGCGACATTGAGCTAGCATGTTAGCACTGTCCTTCTGTAAACAGTCTGTGATGTAGAAGCCTTAGATCTTGCGTTTCTTCCACTCCGGCTCTTTCTCCGCCTCCTCGTCGTCGTCCGATTCTTCTGCAAAGATTGTGTCGGGTTGTGTCCTGGAGGGAAACAGATCGGTTAGAAATAACATCAGTTACTTTTCAAATTTGAATTAAGACCCGCCCATTCTCACTCCCGCTGCCCCATGATTGGACAGAATGTACTGTAATTAAGAGAGAGAGAGACCAGAAAGAGATAGACAAGAGAAAGAAACCAGAGAGAGAGATACAAGAGACCAGAGAGAGAGAGACAAGAGATCAGAGAGAGAGAGACCAGGGAGAGAGAGACCAGAGAGACCGGGAAGAAAGGGAGACCAGAAAAAGGCCAGAGAGAGAAACAGACCAGAAAGAGATAGACAAGGGAAAGAGACCAGAGAGAGAGAGAGACACCAGAAAGAGAGAGACAAGAGATCAAAGAGACTGACCAGAGAGAAAGACCAGAGAGAAAGACCAGAGAGAGAGAAACCAGAGAAAGACATTTACTGGAGCATATAAAGCGGTCTTCAGTTTTCTGCTTAAACACTGGAGCTCGAGTTACAGACAGAAACCACCTCTTACTTAATTTACCTGTGTTTAAATAAATAATGGGCTTTTAGCGTGTCTTATCTCGTCTGCTTGTCTGCTAGCTCATCTGTTAGCTTGTCTATTGGCTCGTCTATTAGTCTGTTAGCTCGTCAGTTGGCCCGTTAGCTTGTCTTACTCCTTGTAGGCAGGGGCCACCCAGTAGGGGTCCTCCGCGGCGGCCTGGGCGTGTCGCAGGATGGCCTGGCGCGGGTTACTGTCGTCTGTTTTGTCCAGAGCGATGTTCTTCACAATGAACGAGGACAAAGTTCCACCATGAGCTGCTACTCTGCCACCGCGACCTGGAACCAGCAAGGACCAGAGAGGGTTAGACAGGAACCAGCAGAAACAAGAAGGTTAGACACAGACAGGTCTACAGCCTCAGTCCTGGATCTACAGCCTCAGTCCTGGGTCTTCAGTCTGTCCCCTGGGGCACAAGCAAGGCAACCAGTCTGTGCCATCGGCCCCTCCCACCACCTCCAACCATTCACTCACTCACCAGACTCATTCTAATGTGGGGGAAGTGTCTTGCCTAAGGACACAACCACAGTTTGGCCCTTTACAGCCGCCTCACTGTGGGACCTGCTGTTCCCAGAGGTCTCCCATCACAGTATTAACCAGGCTCTTCCCTGCTTAGCTTCAGAGGTCCACATTATCTCAGTTTTTCAGAAGTGTTATTTTAAAGTACTGGGTTTAGAAAGGATTTGGGACTGTTCATTACTTTTGCAATGAGACGAGAAATAAATGGGAGTCGGGATCGTTCTTTCTGGAGATAAGACTTCAGAGTGATTCACTGTCGAAGCCCAGACTGCATTCTTCTGCAGAATCACATCCAAATCTGCTTTTTTATTTTAGTCTCATTTATATTCTGGGGCTGAGGTCACACGGCAGTCTGTAAATCAGCTCTGACAGACCTCATTAGATTTGTGTCTTTCAGAAACTTGACCCACTGTATTAACTTTGATTGTTTTTATACAGCGCATTTCACAGACAAAAGCTATTTACAATTTACATAAAATATCATGATGTATTATTAGGAGAAGCTAGTGCCGCTTAATCAGCCATGTCTCTGATAGTCTGAGCCCTCATTAACGGGGACAGGGGGGTCTTCAGCTGGTCTCACACTTGGGACCTGAGGGTGTGTGGTCCGTGTGAAGAGCCAGAAGGAGTAGGAACAACACTTCGTCCATGAGCTCTTCCCTATTGGGCTCCATTGAGGGAGTGGGTTAGCATCGTCAATCTGTATACAGGCCCAGACAACAACAAGATGTCTGGGTCTCAGTCCTGGATCTACAGCCTCGGTCCTGGGTCTACAGCCTCGGTCCTGGGTCTACAGCCTCAGTCCTGGGTCTATTATGACAGTAATTAAGTGGGACCTTTGTGAACATTTATTATAAACATTTCTGGACCAGTCGCTCCTCTGCGTTAGTTACAATTGGATTTCCTGTGCTTGAAACCGTTTGATTCTCTAATCTGTTGTTGAGGAATCCACAACAAAGCAAACTCCTCTGATGTTGTGACTTAAGGCTTTTCCACAAATACATCGAGTTAAATTGAGCCATTATTTTTCGATGATTATGAGTTAAAACCCCGGGGACGTTACCTGGACCAGACACAGGTGGTTCTGGTTTGTGGGACTTCTTGGGGTCCAGCCGGTCTTTCTCCAGCTGCTTCTTGGTGCTGCGCTGCCGGGCCTCTCTGAACATGGGTAATGCATGCGCTGTCAACACACAAAAAAAAAGAAACAAAAACAAGCTGAATGTGTAATTTGAGCTGGGAGGATCGCGTAGCACAGCGGGGGAAGGCTGCCAGTCAAATCTCTCCCTTTGTCTTAATACTACAGCACCTGTCCCGTCCCTGTGAGCTCCTCGGTCCCTTTGATACACAGCTCTGTGATGGTGTGTGTTCATGAGGGAGTGAGGCGCTGCATCGGGGTCAAAGACAAAGTGATTTTCCGTTCAGGCGTCCTGCTCTGCTCTTAAGTCTCTGCGCTACATTAAGCAAAAAGGTTAGCGTTAGCAGATTCCCTCGCTTTTCCTCAATGGCCCATCACGAGCTTCCTCAATGGCCCGCGCTCTTCTTTACTTTTCCAACACAAGGCCGTCAGGTGCGTCACTCTGAAAAGCCCTTTCAAAGACATGACAAAGGAGAAAAAAACCCACTCCACAACAATGAGAGCAGTGCGTGTTCAAATGTGTGTGATGTAGGACTGCGAGCTGCTCTGGACGCTCTCTATGAGTCTGGCCCCTGCTTGTTCCAGCTTCTTCCCTCTGACAGATGATATCTTTGGCTGTTATCCAGGACATCTGGATATGCTAACATGCTAACAGCCTCTCTCCACAAGCTGTGATCAGTCTGAACAAAGCATCGTAATGGTCTTCACAGCGATGACTGTTTCTAGAATATTTCATCTTGTTTTATGCATGTACTTGTCTGGAGCTCACAGGGGACTTTTGCACATTTATTCCACTGTGGTTTTACTGCAAATGGCAAAAAAAAAACTATATCTGGACTCCAGTGTCTCTCTCTGGCCTCTCTCTCTCCCTCCGGTCTCTGGGTGACTGAGCAGGTGAGAGTGTGTATCACGCAGACAGCGCTGGTCATGAGCGTGATCCTCTCTGGTCTCTCTCTCTGGTCTCTCTCTCTGGTCTCTCTCTCTGGTCTCTCTCTCTGGTCTCTCTCTCTGGTCTCTCTCTCCTGCGGTGACCTCTGAGCAGTGTTTATTGTTGTGTATTGAAAAATGAAACTTCAATCTGGCAAATAAACAAACAACCCAGAAGAGTCCCAGATCTACAGCCGCAATGGGTTTCATCTGTTCCCTGCAAGCTGACATGCACATGGAGAAGAGACCAGAGGGAGACCAGAGAGAGAGACCAGAGAGAGACCAGAGAGAGAGACCAGAGAGAGACCAGAGAGAGACCAGAGAGAGACCAGAGAGAGACCAGAGAGAGACCAGAGCGAGACCAGAGAGAGACCAGAGGGAGACCAGAGAGAGAGACCAGAGAGAGACCCGAGAGAGACCAGAGAGAGAGACCAGAGAGAGACCAGAGAGAGACCAGAGAGAGACCAGAGAGAGAGAAGACCAGAGAAAGAGACCAGAGAGAGAGAAACCAAAGAGAGACCAGAGAGAAGAGAGGCCAGAACGAAAGACATGAGAGAGAGAGAGAGACCAGTGAAAAACCAGAGATAGAAAGACTGGATAGAGACCAGTGAGAGAGAGACAGACCAGAGAGAGAGAAACGTAAATGAAAACAGTTTTTGAAATTCTAACTTTTTTTATACATAAACAGGAAAGGACTTTTTTGGGCTAAAATCAGAACTAGTCTAAAAATAGGCGCTTGTGTTTTTGGTGAGGCCTGAATGAAAATGATTGCAGCTCATTTGCTCGACACGCGGTGATGATGTAATCTCGTGGACTTACGTGTGATGATGTAATCTTGGGCTAGCATCTCCGTGTGCTTCTCTTTCCGCTTGGTCTTGGCTAAACACAGCTTGGCGCCTCTGCGAAGGAGAGGAGAGATCACACAAAGGTCCTGGAGACACTGTGACTAACATCTAATACACAAATGGTCAGTGATGCTGCATATGGGGCCCCCTGCTGGAGAAGTGTGGGAATAGCACTATCCTACTCTTCAACTTTATCATTATTATGACTTCTGCTGTAGTCTGTTCATTGCTCTTCACCCGCTGTCCCATTGTCTGTTTCCGTGGCGCGATGATGGGACCCCTGAACCCGGCCTCCTCCATTGGCACCTGCGGACTGTCACCCCCGGCCCGACAAGGAGCCGCCTCACGTCTTGCATCGCGTAGCCTTAGTCCTGGGTCTACAGCCTCGGCTCTGGGTCTACAGCCTCGCTCCTGGGTCTACAGCCTCGCTCCTGGGTCTACAGCCTCGCTCCTGGGTCTACAGCCTCAGTCCTGGGTCTACAGCCTCAGTCCTGGGTCTACAGCCTCAGTCCTGGGTCTACAGCCTCAGTCCTGGGTCTACAGCCTCAGTCCTGGGTCTACAGCCTCAGTCCTGGGTCTACAGCCTCAGTCCTGGGTCTACAGCCTCAGTCCTGGGTCTACAGCCTCAGTCCTGGGTCTACAGCCTCAGTCCTGGGTCTACAGCCTCAGTCCTGGATTAATTTTTTACGATACAAAACTATATTTTCTTAATTGAATAGAAATAGTAAGTAATGTTTACATCCATTCACTCTCTCATCTGCATTCAGACCTATTGTACATATTTTTAGTGGTAGGGGAAACCGGAGTACCCGGAGGAAACCTACGCATACATGGGGAAAACATGCAAACTCCACTCAGAAAGGCCCTGTTCCGACCGGGATTCGAACCCAGGACCTTCTTGCTGAGAAGCGAGAGTATTCAGCCACCGTGCCGCCCAAATGATGGAAATGATGGAGGCCCTTTACCTGTAGCTCTTGAGTGGGTCGTAGTAGACCTTGACCAGGCCGTTGGCGGTGCCCGCCATGATCTGGTTGAGTTTGGGATGCCACAGACAGCGCACCACGCTCTGGAAACACACATGGTTAGTTCTGATTAAATGAATTACCGGCTTTAACAACACTACAACCCCAACAGCAGGATATTTGACAGCTTCTAGTTTTGGAAGAGTCACTGCTGGTCCTGGAATGAGAAAATGATGTCGGTGAAATGAAAGAGACGTTTGTGTGAAGCCAAGTCGCTGTATAGAAAGTGTCCTGGATTTTGGAGCTTGTGTAGCTGGTCTTTTTAGATAAACTGGTGTCATCTCAAAATACTGTATACGTGTCCACCGTGTGAGAGCTTATATTCGTATGTGAACTGGCCTCACTGGACCAGTGGCAGTGGCAGTGGGAGGGTGAGGGAGGGGTGAGGGCAGTGGTTAGATGGGGGTGGGTTCGACTCCACGTTCAGATTCGATGGCAGTGAAAGCTGCTTAACGTCCAGCTGTTCACCTTCCCACCGGGCGCCAGTGGAGAATCCCAATCTACGACAGTCGCACAAAAACCAGCACCGAGGATTTGTCTCATGTTTACTGCACTCAGCAATAAATGTATATGTATACGCATTTGTTGGGATTACTCTCTCTCTCTGGTCTCTGGACTCTCTCTGGACTCTCTCTCTCTCTCTCTCTCTCTGGTCTCTGGACTCTCTCTCTCTCTCTCTGGTCTCTGGACTCTCTCTCTGGTCTCTGGACTCTCTCTCTCTCTGGTCTCTGGTCGCTGGACTCTCTGGTCTAATTTGAGCATTATTTACAAACAGTTTGCATCATTACACGATTACAGTATTATATAGTAACTCAGAAGGAGTTGGTCGAAGCAAGAAAGCTTGAAAGTATAAAATCTTCAATCCTGTTTCCTTGACTCCAGTTAGAGTGAGAAAACTTGAGTCAACTAGTGACTCACATTTATCCCAGAGAGAGACCAGACAGAGAGACCAGACAGAGACCAGAGAGAAGAGACTAGAGAGACAGACCAGAGAGAAGGGACCAGAGAAGGGACTAGAGAAGGGACGAGAGAGAAGAGACCAGAGAGAAGAGACCAGAGAGAAGAGACCAGAGAGAAGAGACCAGAGAGACAGACCAGAGAGAAGAGACCAGAGAGAAGAGACCAGAGAGAAGAGACCAGAGAGACAGACCAGAGAGAAGAGACCAGAGAGAAGAGACCAGAGAGAAGAGACCAGAGAGAAGAGACCAGAGAGAAGAGACCAGAGAGAAGGGACCATAGAGAGACCAGAGAGAAGGGACCAGAGAGAGACCAGAGAGAGACCAGAGAGAAGGGACCAGAGAGAGAGAACAGAGAGAAGAGAACAGAGAGAGAGACCAGAGAGAAGGGAACAGAGAGAAGAGAACAGAAAGAGAGACCTGAGGGAGAGACCAGAGAGAAGGGACCAGAGAGAAGAGAACAGAGAGAAGAGAACAGAAAGAGAGACCTGAGGGAGAGACCAGAGAGAAGGGACCAGAGAGTAGGGACTAGAGAGAGAGACCAGAGAGAAGGGACCAGAAAGAAGGGACCAGAGAGAAGGGACCAGAGAGAAGGGACCAGATAGTGCAAGTACCAATGTTTTAAATGCATGAGACTTTCCACCGTCGGACCAGAAGGAGCCCAGTCTCTCACTGGGAGAGTTAATCTCTCCAAGCTGTTCATGATCCAACAGACATTAACTGAACACGATTTAAAAAGGGCTGGATTTAACCATGACACAGATATTGTTGAGTCAGGACACTATTCTCACAGAAGAACCTTCCGATTGTGTAACGACAGACGATGCTAACCCGCTCACTCTATGGAGCCCTATGTCCTCTCTCTGGCTCCTATTGACCCACATGTAAAAGTAAACTCCTCTATAGCTCAGTAACAGACCGACCATTTTGGAAAAATCTCTGGTCTCTCTAACCTCTCCCTCTGAACTTCCTCTCTGACGTCTTTCTCACTCTGAACACTGACCACGCTGACGTCTTTCTCTCTCTGACCACTCCCTCTCTGAACACTGTCTCTGCTACTCTCTCTCTGACCACTCTTAGACCTTTGTCTGACCTCTCTCTCTCTGACCAGTCTGTCTGACGTCTTTCTCTCTCTGACCACTCTCTAACCTCTCTCTCAGACCTCTTTCTCACTCCGACTACTCTCTGTGACCTCTGTCTCTCTGACGTCTTTCTCTCAGACCTCCTTCTCTGACCATTACATTACTTACTTACCACTCTCTGATGTCTTTCTCACTCTGACCACTCTCTCTCTCTCTCTCTGACCTCTCTCTAACATCTCTCTTTGGCCTCCCTGGTGTGCTTTATTGTCTGATGAAGTGTAAAACGCTAAGAAAACACAAGAACTACTAGCATGCCCCGCTTCAGCAAAGGCATAATTAGCTGTGATTTCCAACCCTTTGTGTGAGAAAACCCAGGAATTCTGCTACAGACCGCAGGTGCTGTCGAAACGCTCTACCTCCCACCTCACGGCCGAAGACAAACACATGGCCAGAGAACCCTTCGCCTCTTAAACCAAAGCACAAGCGACAACTGGAGCCCGCTGTGACTCGAGAGGCCGGTCCAGCTCCAGAAAACTCCCTCCTCGGACCCACACAAATCATACTGTCAACACAGGGATAAGTCTCTGAGCAGAGAGAGGGGGAGAGAGAGAGAGAGAGAAGCAGAGAGAGAGAGAGAGAGGGGCCTGAGCTGGAGCGGTTTGTGAGAAAGTGGAAGTATACAGCCAAGTCCAAAATAACATCCAAAGAACTGTGTATACACTTATAGCTCCGTGTTTATTCTCTGTCGGCCACAAAATCACATCTCGAAAGAGGTACGACAATTTTAGCAAGACAGCTCTAGGCCGTGAACGTCCTGTTAGATTTAAATACCACAGGCCAAAAGTACTTAAATATGTAACCCAGTCCTGGGTCTACAGCCTCGGTCCTGGGTCTACAGCCTCGGTCCTGGGTCTACAGCCTCGGTCCTGGGTCTACAGCCTCGGTCCTGGGTCTACAGCCTCGGTCCTGGGTCTACAGCCTCGGTCCTGGGTCTACAACCTCAGTCCTGGGTCTACAACCTCAGTCCTGGGTCTACAACCTCAGTCCTGGGTCTACAACCTCAGTCCTGGGTCTACAACCTCAGTCCTGGATCTACAACCTCAGTCGTCCCGCTCCCTATAGACCAATGGCTCCTATTAAGATTAAGATATCTTTTATTCGTCCCACAGTGGGGAAATTTCAGTGTTGCATCACAAGTTACAGAACAGTAGGAAAGATGTGAAGTGAACAATAGCTATACTAATTAAAATAAAACAAAATCTCTAACTCTAGCATCAATAACAATTATAAAATCTATCTTGAAAATAATAATAAAACAAAAAAATCTGGTTATTCTGGCATTTCCTGTGCTTGAACGGTTATTCGGATCTGTTGTCGTCTTCAGAACTTTGTAAAGCCAAAAGTGCATTTCTCTGGATGAGACTGGACTCTGTAACTCCGGGAGCAAAGACCTGAGAAAGTTTAACGACTGAAGGTCCGGCAGAAGTCAACGGAAGCGGGTAATTGGTGCGAGCTGGAGTCGCCGGGAGGATCTCCACGCCGAGATGCACAAGAAAAGTAAATCCCCAGTGTTCCCCCCCGAGTCCCGGTCTCAGTCTGAGGATGAAAGACTGAGGCCCGGATCTCAACAGACCTGAAGAGACTGGAGAGTGTTGAGAGTCAGACCACAATCTGAGAAACGTGACATCACTCACAACTGATGATTGTGTCTCTGCTTTGAATCCACCACACACTCAGCAATGCTTAAAGTATAGGAGAAAGTAAAGTCTCGCGCTCTCTCTCTCTGCCCGCTCTCTCTCTCTGCCCGCTCTCTCTCTCTCTCTGCCCGCTCTCTCTCTCTCTCTCTCTGCCCGCTCTCTCTCTCTCTGCCCGCTCGCTCTCTCTCTGCCCGCTCGCTCTCTCTCTGCCCGCTCGCTCTCTCTGCCCGCTCTCTCTCTCTCTCTGCCCGCTCTCTCTCTCTCTGCTCGCTCGCCCTCTCTCTCTCTCTGCTCGCTCGCCCTCTCTCTGCCCGCTCTCTCTCTCTGCCCGCTCTCTCTCTCTGCCCGCTCTCTCTCTCTCTCTCTGCTCGCTCGCCCTCTCTCTCTCTGCCCGCTCTCTCTCTCTCTCTCTGCCCGCTCTCTCTCTCTCTCTCTGCCCGCTCTCTCCCTCTCTCTGCCCGCTCTCTCTCTCTCTCTGCCCGCTCTCTCTCTCTCTCTGCCCGCTCTCTCTCTCTCTCTCTCTGCCCGCTCTCTCTCTCTCTCTCTCTTTCTGCCCGCTCTCTCTCTCTCTCTGCCCGCTCTCTCTCTCTCTCTGCCCGCTCTCTCTCTCTCTCTCTGCCCCGCTCTCTCTCTCTCTCTGCCCGCTCTCTCTCTCTCTCTGCCCGCTCTCTCTCTCTCTCTGCCCGCTCTCTCTCTCTCTCTGCCCGCTCTCTCTCTCTCTGCCCCGCTCTCTCTCTCTCTGCCCGCTCTCTCTCTCTCTCTCTCTGCCCGCTCTCTCTCTCTCTCTCTGCCCGCTCTCTCTCTCTCTCTGCCCGCCTCTCTCTCTCTCTCTGCCCGCTCTCTCTCTCTGCCCGTTCTCTCTCTCTCTCTCTGCCCGCTCTCTCTCTCTCTCTGCCCGCTCTCTCTCTCTCTCTCTGCCCGCTCTCTCTCTGCCCGCTCTCTCTCTCTCTCTGCCCGCTCTCTCTCTCTCTCTGCCCGCTCTCTCTCTCTCTCTGCCCGCTCTCTCTCTCTCTGCCCGCTCTCTCTCTCTCTGCCCGCTCTCTCTCTCTCTCTCTCTGCCCGCTCTCTCTCTCTCTCTGCCCGCTCTCTCTCTCTCTCTCTGCCCGCTCTCTCTCTCTCTCTGCCCGCTCTCTCTCTCTGCCCGTTCTCTCTCTCTCTCTCTGCCCGCTCTCTCTCTCTCTCTGCCCGCTCTCTCTCTCTCTCTCTGCCCGCTCTCTCTCTGCCCGCTCTCTCTCTGCCCGCTCTCTCTCTGCCCGCTCTCTCTCTGCCCGCTCTCTCTCTCTCTCTCTCTCTGCCCGCTCTCTCTCTCTCTCTGCCCGCTCTCTCTCTCTCTCTCTGCCCGCTCTCTCTCTCTCTCTCTCTCTGCCCGCTCGCTCTCTCTCTCTCTCTCTGCCCGCTCTCTCTCTCTCTCTCTGCCCGCTCTCTCTCTCTCTCTCTGCCCGCTCTCTCTCTCTCTGCCTGCTCGCTCTCTCTGCCCGCTCTCTCTCTCTGCCCGCTCTCTCTCTCTGCCCGCTCTCTCTCTCTGCCCGCTCACTCTCTCTCTCTCTACTCTCTCTCTCTCTGCCCGCTCTCTCTCTGCCCGCTCTCTCTCTCTCTCTCTCTGCCCGCTCGCTCTCTCGCTCTCTCTGCCCGCTCGCTCTCTCGCTCTCTCTCTGCCCGCTCGCTCTCTCGCTCTCTCTCTGCCCGCTCTCTCTCTCTCTCTGCCCGCTCTCTCTCTCTCTCTGCCGCTCTCTCTCTCTCTCTCTGCCCGCTCGCTCTCTCTCTCTCTCTGCCCGCTCGCTCTCTCTCTCTGCCCGCTCGCTCGCTCTCTCTGCCCGCCGCTCGCTCTCTCTCTCTGCCCGCTCGCTCTCTCTCTCTGCCCGCTCGCTCTCTCTCTCTGCCCGCTCGCTCGCTCTCTCTGCCCGCTCGCTCGCTCTCTCTGCCCGCTCGCTCGCTCGCTCTCTCTGCCCGCTCGCTCGCTCTCTCTGCCCGCTCGCTCGCTCGCTCTCTCTGCCCGCTCGCTCGCTCTCTCTGCCCGCTCGCTCGCTCTCTCTGCCCGCTCGCTCTCTCTCTCTGCCCGCTCGCTCTCTCTCTCTGCCCGCTCGCTCTCTCTCTCTCTGCCCGCTCGCTCTCTCTCTCTGTCCGCTCGCTCTCTCTCTCTGTCCGCTCGCTCTCTCTCTCTGCCCGCTCGCTCGCTCTCTCTGCCCGCTCGCTCGCTCTCTCTGCCCGCTCGCTCGCTCTCTCTGCCCGCTCGCTCGCTCTCTCTGCCCGCTCGCTCGCTCTCTCTGCCCGCTCGCTCGCTCTCTCTGCCCGCTCGCTCGCTCTCTCTGCCCACTCGCTCTCTCTCTCTGTCCGCTCGCTCTCTCTCTCTGTCCGCTCGCTCGCTCTCTCTGCCCGCTCGCTCTCTCTCTCTGTCCGCTCGCTCGCTCTCTCTGCCCGCTCGCTCGCTCTCTCTGCCCGCTCGCTCTCTGTGTGCTGTACGTCTTTCCTTGTTTTGGTCTGCGGATGTATGTATGTCACACATGTATAGCTTCTCACGTTTTAAATAATGAAAGTACATAAATAGATGATAAATTAGGTGATGAGCTCCCAGAGATAGTCCTCACCCTCAGACTGGCTGTTTGGTTAGAGAGGAGTGATTGGTGGCGCTTCCTTTCTGTGCACATCACTTTAAAGACTGCACTTAAACACTTGGTCGCTCCACGCGGCAGACGGCTGATGTAAACACCGTAAATAACTCATCCTCAGGTTCAGTGGGGGCACTCTCCCTCTGTCCACCACATCTGAGAGATCTTTGTCCGACAGGAAGTCTGGTCCTCAACTCATCAGAAAAGAAGGGCGCAAACGATTTATAAGATAACACTTTATAAATGTGGGTATTAGACCACACTTTAGAGGTCTCCCATCACAGGACTAACCAGGCCCTACCCTACTTAGTTTCAGAGGTCTGACGGGGAATATGGCTTTCACCTGCAGGTATTGCCACATTACCTCAGTAAGATCACTCAGATTGTGCAGACAGGAATAGTGTCTTTTCAGTCCGTGTCTGCGTCTCTCTGTCTGCGTCTCTCTCTGTCTGCGTCTCTCTCTGTCTGCGTCTCTCTCTGTCTGCGTCTCTCTCTGTCTGCGTCTCTCTCTGTCTGCGTCTCTCTCTGTCTGCGTCTCTCTCTGTCTGCGTCTCTCTCTGTCTGCGTCTCTCTCTGTCTGCGTCTCTCTCTGTCTGCGTCTCTCTCTGTCTGCGTCTCTCTCTGTCTGCGTCTCTCTCTGTCTGCGTCTCTCTCTGTCTGCGTCTCTCTGTCTGCGTCTCTCTGTCTGCGTCTCTCTGTCTGCGTCTCTCTGTCTGCGTCTCTCTGTCTGTCTCTCGTCTGCGTCTCTCTGTCTGCGTCTCTGTCTGCGTCTCTCTGTCTGCGTCTCTCTGTCTGCGTCTCTCTCTGCTCTCTGTCTGCGTCTGTCTGCGTCTCTCTGCGTCTCTCTGCCTGTCTGCGTCTCTCTGTCTGTCTGCGTCTTTCTGTCTGTCTGCGTCTCTCTGTCTGTCTGCGTCGCTCTGTCTCTGCGTCCGTCTGTCTCTGCGTCCGTCTGTCTCTGCGTCCGTCTGTCTCTGCGTCCGTCTGTCTCTGCGTCCGTCTGTCTCTGCGTCCGTCTGTCTCTGCGTCCGTCTGTCTGATAACATCTGTGCACTGTTTACATTTGTCTGTATTGTTTTCAATGGATGACATTGAAAACATTTGTAATTTATAATTTTGCTTCCTCCAAACCCTTTTTCTATTTTATTTTTATTTTTTAAGATAATAAACGTGAAGAAGGCTCAAAATGAATCTTTACTGTTACTAAATAAACAGCAGGAATAGTTTTCAAAAGCACAGGAGAAAAGACACTGGGTTCACAAAGTTTTGGAGCGGCTTCAGTGTTTCTCACAGCGGGAGACAGACACAGAGAGGAAGAGGAAACACTCTGACCTCAGCCTCTGATGGGACTGCAGTCATTTTGACTCCACAGGACATCGCAGCAATGTCACGGCTCATAAGTGTTAACTGCCCAAAGAGACTGTGTGTGACATCACATCGGCACAAACACACAGAGGTGAAGCGGCAGGGACAGGCCTCTCTTTCTCTCTGGGCCTCTCTTTCTCTCTGGGCCTCTTTCAGTCTTTCTGTGGCCTCTTTCTCTCTCTCTGTGTACACTCTCCCTCTCTGGACACTCTCCCTCTCTGGACACTCTCCCTCTCTGGACACTCTCCCTCTCTGGACACTCTCCCTCTCTGGACACTCTCTCTGGCCTCTATCTCTCCCCCTCTCTTTCTCTCTCCCTCTCTCTCTGATGTCATAATTCTGCCCAGACAAGCTCCTACAGTTCTAAATTATCCAGCCACATAAACCAGGGAAGCAGCAGATCCACAGCCCTCACAGAGACATAAATACAGCTCAGTAGAAAACAATGACTGAAACAGAAAGAATCTCTGAGGCCTGGGTTAAAGTTAATGGCAGGCTACAGAAGAATGAGACAAACATTATTTTAACTTTCAGCCGCCAGAGCCAAAGGAGAAAATGACTGAGTGTCTGCGATTTAGGGATTTAAATGAATACATTTCCGACTGTCGCAGAGGAACAATTCACTATTAGTTTCAGCTGGTTTCTCTAATTCCCTGAACAATCCACATGGTCTCAAAGTTCCACATCTTTGTCAGAACACACTCTCTCTCTGGTCTCTCCCCATCTCTCTGGTCTCTCCCCATCTCTCTGGTCTCTCCCCATCTCTCTGGTCTCTCCCCATCTCTCTGGTCTCTCCCCATCTCTCTGGTCTCTCCCCATCTCTCTGGTCTCTCCCCATCTCTCTGGTCTCTCCCCATCTCTCTGGTCTCTCCTTCTATGACAGTGAGTGTATACAGGGTATGAGACCTTTTTCTTCTGATTCTGTAAAATACTGAAATACCACTGACTGCATTCGTGACGTCGATCTGGTAAACTTTCTCAAATGTCGTTCGGTCGAAGAAAACCAGTTTTCCATTTCCCTCGTCCTTCTTCACAGACGTTCCAGTGATGAGAAGCTTGTCATCTGGACTGAAGCAGCAATCCGTCCTGAAAAACACAACAAGTCTGGACATATCAGCAAGTACCAACTCTGAGGAGCACAGGGACTGGCCTCCTGCTGGTCCCGGAGTCAGGACTAATCTTCACTCTTTTAATGCATTCAGATTATTTTCTTGTCTTGTTTAGCACTTTGAGCCTTGAGTATAAACTGTGCTATACAAATAAGCTAGCCTGAGATGTGTTCACTTACATAGAGAAGTAGTTCGTGAGCCCATTGGCCACATTCAGCGGCTTCTTAAAGTTGCGCATATCCCAAGTTTTCAGAGTGTCGTCACCTTAAAAAAAAAACATTAAAATAATAGTTTTCTTTTATCCCAGACATAACACCAGTGTCTGTAGCTCCTCCCACCTCCTCGTGATGCGAGCGTCACGCCGTCGTATGAAAAGGTGATACAGGACGTGTCCGAGCCGGGAATGTGCGCCTGTCTGCAGTGGTACTTAGTGTGGACCTAAAACATCAGAAAAAAAAGATCAATCATTTGTGGGTCATTTGTAGTGATTCAACTAGATCCTATATTCTTGGGTTTCATATGACGTCAGGTAAGGGGCACGAAAAACAAGCGTGGGACAGGATGTGACGTGTCCTGGCGGTGCAGTCTGCCCGGTTTATACACGGAGATATAGTAGAAGAAGAAGACCTGTCAAAATGCCATCTTTTTGTGCAGTGTAGCTTGTAGCAACCGCACAAATAGAGAGAAAGACAAGAGTTTGTTCATGTTCCAACTGTGGTCTCATATAAAGGACACTTTGAAAAAATCACTGGATTGAAGCGGGCGAGGTGGATCAAGGCTTTCCCAGATGAGCGCCCCCTGCAGGCCACCCCAATGAAATGCAGCAATTTCTTCTGTTTTTTTTTCTTTCAAAAGTGCCCAAAATCAAGACTTGAGAAATATTTTTTAGAATTGAGTGTCCCCCGATTAAGACTGTTCCAACAACCCTACACCCCACAGGAGGAGAGCCTTTTGACTCAGACTTTACATGGTTTTCAATGGGAGCAAAACTGAGTTGTCCATCTCTGCTCATTCGCCCCCTACTGGCCAGGTTCATGAAACCCAAGAATTGACTATAGTGCCGTAATGCAGAAGAGACTGATCTAAACTGAGCATTGTCCACCTGTATACTGTCTAAGTTAGCATTTTCCATCTGTGTACAGTCCATGGAACATTGATCCTAATGACTTGCTGACATCAGGTCAGATCCCAAACGTGATAAACTCCTAAAGCAACAAACGTATATTTGAAGCTAACGTCTTAAACCTTTCCGTTCCTGCTGTGGCTTCACTGTAAACTCAGGAGAACGTTTAACTTAATGGAAGCAAACAGTCGATGGCCTCAAACACCAGCTGGTTTCAATTCTACAAATGGTCTCTTACGGCAGCCTCCTCAGCCTCCATCATCCTTCATCAGAAGCAGGGGCAGAGGAGGCACAGGGGGCAGAGGAGGCACAGGGGGCAGAGGAGGCACAGGGGGAAGAGGAGGCACAGGGGGTAGAGGAGGCACAGGGGGTAGAGGAGGCACAGGGAGCAGAGGAGGCACAGGGAGCAGAGGAGGCACAGGGGGAGAGGAGGCACAGGCCACAGAGCAAAAACGCTGAAATAACAAACACGTCTTTGATTCACATTCTCTTCAAGTTTAAGCTTCAAAAGTTTAGCAGCATTTTATTCTATAACTCTATTCTTACTGCAGCGAGAGACCAGTGAGTTACCAGAAAGAAGAGACAAGAGACATGAGAGAGAGAGACAGAGAGACCGACCAGAGAGAAGAGACACTAGAGAAAGAGACTAGAGAGAGACACCAGCGAGCGAGAAAAAAGTAGGTGAGAAGAGACCAGAGATAGACACTAGAGAAACCAGAGAGACAATAGAGAGAGACCAGACGGAAGAGACACTAGAGAAAAGTGACACTAGAGAGAGACCAGAGAGAGAGATCAGCAAGAGAGAGAAAAGCAGGTGACAAGAGAGAGAGACCGACCAGAGATAGACACTAGACAGAGACCAGAGAGATAAGAGACACTAGAGAGAGAGACATCAGAGACTCTTACTCTACTCTCCCCTGATTGAGAGTGTATCCTCTGCTCCTATAAAACTAGTCTCGGGTCCTTCTTTAGTCCCTCTTGGTCCTGGTTCTCTCCAGACTGAGCTGGTACTTAAGTGTTCTAACTGACAGTGATGCTGCTGGAAGACATGGTTACCAGGGAATTTCCACAGATACTAGTTTGTTGTGAGTAAGTTGCTTGGATATGGAACCAGATACGATTAGAGCAGAGTAGAGTAGAGCAGGCCTGGTATCAGCGACTACAAAATAAGACTAGATTCAGACTGTGCTCTAGGTGTTCATTCCAAATCCTTGTCATATTGATAAAGAGATGGATCCCTCTGTGGACTGTGCTGAAGCAACGATATGTGAGGCCAGGACGATAACGCAAACCAAATAAATATAACCCTGGTTTCTACAGCTGCACTTTTATTAATCCCACCAGGAATGCAAATAAACGGGAGAAAAGGGGAGAAGGTGGGCAGGCTGCTCAGGGCACGCTCTGGATAAGAAAAAGTGTGTATGCAGACTGTGGAGGAGAGATAAGAACCAGAAAGACTGAGCAAGAGAGAGGAGGGACACAGAGCAAGGCATGATGGGAATGAGTAAGGGTGTCCTCACAAGTACACTGCACCACAGACAGCAGTAAGTGGAGGGAAGTCATTAACGGAGAGACAGATAACGCCGTTACCTTGGACTGGAGATAACATGTGTTCTTCCTTTAAGGCTAAGGCCACAACCTGCAATTATCACCAAACCACTTCATTCGGCTCAATATGAGATAATCAGGGGCTTCTTTATTCACTGCTTTAAATGGACAAGGCCACGCGGTAAAAGTCAGGAGAGGAATTGGATCGGGGCATTGTACTCTTGAAAGTATTTGAGCTGGAATGGTCCCAATTTGCAGAAGATTAGACAAAAGCAGTTCCAGCACTAATGTAATGGAAACAGAGGGTGCAGGGAGTAGACTTTGAACAGGAGGGAGTGGAGAGGGTTCCATATCATCCTGCGTGTGTGTGTGTGTCCTGAGGAATAAAGCTCAGTGCTCAGACTGTATACAGGTGGACAATGCTAAGACAGACTGTATACAGATGGACAATGCTAACCCACTAGCTAAATTAAGTTTAGCTCCAACTCTCTCTGGCTCCTATTGACTCACATGTAAAAGTAAATACTTCTAGCTCAGTAACATTTGTGCCACACTAAACTTGGGCTTAAATCTGTAGTTCATCTCTCTGATCCTGGGATTTCAACCCAAGACATAGCTTCTTGCTGAGAGGCAAGAGTGCTAACCACTCAGCCACCGTGCCACCGGTGGCTTACTCTTAAGGCTAAACACTGTGGTGATGTCACACTTTGTCAGTCAGCTGCCCTGAGGCACACTGACAGAAGCGAGGCAACCAGTCTGTGCCATCGGCCCCTCCCACCACCACCAACCATTCACACACACCAGACTCATTCTAATGTGGGGGAAGTGTCTTGCCTAAGGACACAACCACAGTTTGGCACTTTACAGCCACAGTTGCTTCACTGTGGCACCTGGTGTTCCCAGAGGTCTCCCATCACAGTACTAACCAAACCCTGCCCTGCTGAGCTTTAGACGTCTGACAGGATCTGGCTTTCTGCCAGACAATGGATATGACAATGTTCATCCAAATTCACTCTTTAATGTGCTGTAATTATTAATGATTTTAATGTTTCTTTCCTTGTTTTGCTAAGCACTTTGAGTATGAGCTATACCAATAAACTTGCCTTAACCACTGTGTGTTTGTTGATACTACAGTAGAATCCGCACTGACACTGACATCTCTATAGTCCTGGTACCTGACACTGTCCACTGCCTGTTGACCTGTGACCTCTGAGTCAAACCCTGGTCCAGCAGCTGCTCTGGTCCTTCACACAAATCAACAAGTGAGACGGTGACGCCAGCTCACGTCCTGCTACCGCTACTCTGGTTCATCTCACTGGTCAGGAGGGTGTTTGACTGTAAGGATTTATTTTAAACACACTACTGTTTGTACCATAGACTGTATGTATACAGATGGACAATGCTAACACAGACTGTATACAGATGGACAATGCTAACACAGACTGCATACAGATGGACAATGCTAACACAGACTGTATACAGATGGACAATGCTAACACAGACTGTATACAGGTGGACAATGCTAACACAGACTGTATACAGGTGGACAATGCTAACACAGACTGTATACAGATGGACAATGCTAACACAGACTGTATACAGATGGACAATGCTAACACAGACTGTATACAGATGGACAATGCTAACACAGACTGTATACAGATGGACAATGCTAACAGACTGTATACAGGTGGACAATGCTAACACAGACTGTATACAGATGGAAAATGTCCAGTAGCCCTTGTGCCATCCTGTGGTCATATCGACCCGCCACAGTGATCAAAAATATACCCTAAAAAATTTTGATGATTTTTCCCAACTTGACCCTTTAGACCAGGGAGGTCAATTATCCCAGGGGCCAGATCCGCCTTGCCAAGAATTTTGATATGGCCCGCAGCTCATTTATGTAAAATGATCATATTTTTCTGTGTACTAATCTGCTCCGTGACGCCATTCACCGCAACACAACTCCTCTACTGGGAGGGTGATGTCCTCATCGATGCGACCAAGCAATTGTTTTCCGTTCGGACGTCTTTACGGGTTGAGGCAAACGTGTTGTTTATTATGTTTTTCGCAACAGCCTCTAACTGATCACAATAGACGTTTGGCAACGTCAGATTGTTTAGGTATCTACTCGGCCCGGCTACTAAAAACAGTACCAGGCAGCAGCTAAAGCGAGCCGGTGGAAACGGCCACAAACCAGGGGGAGTCCAGTCAGGCCCATGGACATGGCCTTTTGACTACCACTTTTAGTCATGGTATCGGGTCATTTTGACCCGAGGATAGCATAAGGGTTAGACAGTTCTGCTCCAACTCTGTCTCCTCTTATTGACTTACAAGTAAAAGTTAACTGGTATTTTTATAGTGTGATTTTTTTTCTTTGTAAATCCAGATGTTAGCTGCATGAGGGTGAAACTCCTCCTGTCTGGAGGTGGGTTTGCAGCCAAGAGCTTCTTGTTGAGATGCGAGAGTGCTAACCACTCAGCCACATGTGGTTAGTTCAGCTCGAGGACTGAGGGCAGCTGTTGGTCCCAGATCCACAGATTTTGGAGCTTCTATTTTCTCTTTGAAGTTTGCCATTCTGTGACGTCAGAGCATTCCATCGACCTCCAACCATCGTACAGCTTCAGCCGGTGCACATCCAGGCCGACCCTTCTGCAGCGAGAGCGTGCAATCACGGCGTCATTAGTGATCTGCTAAAAGAGAGCACCCCGACTCCAGCCGCAGGATCAGAGCCGGTGTCGCCCCCAATTCCTCAGAGCAGAGACTGAGTCCAGGTCGAGTTCAGGTTTGATTGTGATTGATCGGCTGCATATTCCACCCATGACGAACACATAACTGAGGCACTCAGAGGTCAGCTCCTTTTCAGGCTCATGGCCAAACTCCATGTTTGTGCCACAGAGGGCAGAAGCAGAGTGGGGTCAAGAGACAGACTGTGAGAGACCAGAGATAACTTGACAAGAGACTCAGAGCAGATCCGGTGCCTGAGGTCCAGGAGGAGAGTACAGCTCAGAGCTGGAGAATAACATCTGATGTTTGTGTGTGGCATTAAAAACCTCCCGAATCCACAAAGGAATGAAGTCTTCAATCTCAGCTTAATGACGAGAGAGTAATCTCCCACTCTGCCCAGACTATGCACACAGCTGTTTAAACCCAGTTACAACACCAGCTCAGAGGCCAGGGCCAGACACCAGGAAACACCAGCTATAACAGCAGGTGTGATCCTGGTGTCTATTTTGTAATATTGTTTTGGTAAACCTGTACATGTATACCTTTCTTCAGACAAGAGAGAGACCCGAGAGAGACCCAAGAGAGACCCGAGAGAGACCCAAGAGAGACCTGAGAGAGATCAGAAAGAGACCAGATACATACATTTACAGAAGGTAAAGTTGCAGAACAAATGCCCATATAAAGAAACCGGCTCCATCTTATGCTCAAATCTCCCTTGTCTGCATTAATGCTGACACTGTTGTGATGTCACACTCGGTCTCCCTGATGTGCTGGTGCGGGACTCACGCTCATGTTGCGGTCCCAGATCTGGATGCTGCCGTCCTGACATCCGGCTGCCACAAGTTTCCCGTCGCGGCTGTAGCTGCAGCAGATTGGGATGACCTTCTTCCCCTGGAACGAGCGCGGTTTAAACACGGCCTTGTGCTGCTTCTCCTTCGTCACGTCCCAAGTGCGGACGGTTCTGTAGACGGAGAAGTGAGTACATATGTCACGGGCAACGAATAAACAGGTTTTCATCACTCACTCCATCTCATAGAACCACAAGGACCAACAAAGATTAGTAAAATATCACACATTCATTCATAAAACCAAATATCATAATAAATAGATAAACACAAAACTAAAGAGATTCTTTTCTTGCATCTGTCTCTGGTCTCCCTGTAGTCTCTCCTGGTCTCTCTCCCTCTCTGTGGTCTCTCTCACAGTCTCTGGTCTCTATCTCTCTCTTTGGTCTCTTGATCTCTCGGAGAAACGTGTATTTCTGTGTAACCGAGACGCATGTGAGACATGTGTGCGAGGTGTGTGTGTGTGTGTGAGAAGTGTGTGTGAGACGTGTGAGAGACATGTGAGAGACGTGTGTGAGAGACGTGTGTGAGAGACGTGTGTCTGTGAGACGTGTGTGTGAGACGTGTGTGAGAGACGTGTGTCTGTGAGACGTGTGTGAGAGACGTGTGTGTGAGACGTGTGTCTGAGTGATGTGTGTGAGAGACGTGTGTGAGAGACGTGTGTGAGAGACGTGTGTGTGAGACGTGTGTGTGAGACGGGTGTGAGAGATGTGTGTGTGAGACGTGTGTGAGACGTGTGTCTGAGTGATGTGTGTGAGAGACGTGTGTGTGAGACGTGTGTGTGAGACGTGTGTGTGAGACATGTGTGTGAGACGTGTGTGAGACGTGTGTGTGACGTGTGAGAGACGTGTGTATGAGACGTGTGTGAGGGACGTGTGTGAGAGACGTGTGTGAGACGTGTGAGAGACGTGTGTATGAGACGTGTGTGAGGGACGTGTGTCGTGTTTGTGAGACGTGTGTGTGAGACGTGTATGAGACATGTGAGACGCGTGTGAGACGCGTGTGAGAGACGTGTGTGAGACGTGTGAGAGACGTGTGTATGAGACGTGTGTGAGGGACGTGTGTGAGACGTGTTTGTGAGACGTGTGTGTGAGATGTGTATGAGACATGTGAGACGCGTGTGAGACGCGTGTGAGAGACGTGTGTGAGACGTGTGAGAGACGTGTGTGAGACGTGTGTGTGAGGGACGTGTTTGTGAGACGTGTGTGTGAGACGTGTGTGTGAGATGTGTATGAGAAATGTGAGACGTGTGTGAGACGTGTGTGTGTGAGACGTGTGTGAGAGACGTGTGTGTGAGACATGTGTGAGACGTGTGTGAGACATGTAAGACGTGTGTGAGGCGTGTGTGTGTGTGAGACGTGTGTGAGAAGTGTGTGTGTGTGAGACGTGTGTGCGCTCCTGGGAGTCAGCAGGTCAGTAGACAAGTATACACACACAGATGTTGGAAACACTGCTACTAACAGGAATGGAAGCTTGCAGCGTGTTTGGAGAAGAGCCCCAGGAGATGGGAGACAGGACACACATGTTCACTTCAAAACACTGGGAACAGGACGATGCAGCGACCAGCGGCACCAGATTCACCGTAAAAAGTCAGACGGACAAAAACAGGCAAAAGGTGTTTCAATGTAAACTTGCCCTACGTCACAACAGCAGATTTAGGGTAAGACTAAACAAAACCGTTGAACTGTTGATTCTGTTGATCTGTGTTGGCGAATTCAACACCACACTGGAAAAAAACCCTTGAAAATAAGTAAAATACTGCTTAGAACAAGAACAAGGAAATACTGTATAACTTGACAAGATTTCTGAAATAAATATTAGCCCCAAAAGACTTCTAGTCCTTGTTTTAAAAACATCCATTTCAAGTATTATTTACCAATGTCCATAAATGGGGTTAAATGTGGAGTTGAGTGTCCTGGATGGTCATGAAGTATATTCAAAACGCTGTAGCTCAAGTCTGACTAGAACAACTGTAACAAGTTTCCTGCTGGGACTCTGAGGAGCACAGGGACTGGCCTCCTGCTGGTCCCAGAGTCAATAATAGATTTTATTTATAACGCACCTTTCATATGCAAAGCACATCTCAAGGTGCTACATCAGAATAAAAACACATATATACAAATGTTAAAATACATTAAAACATGGGCTGCAGATCAGCAGTAGGCCTTCCTGAATAGCTCCGTTTTCAGGTGCTATAGAGGTGCTGTAGAGTCAGGACTAAACAAAGGGAGGCAGCGTTTCAGATCCGTAAAGCTAAAATTCAGAAACAGTCTTCCGGAAAATTTGAGACATGGCTTTTTCTCTGACCATGTTCAAATCCAAAACACTGCAAAACTGAAGGATTGTATCTCACGCTTTCTAATGTAGTTGATTATTTATAAACGTGTCAAACCAAGATGACTGAAGAGAGTGAGTGTAGAGAGCTCTGGGTCGGCCTCCGCTCTCACGGTTTGTTGAAGGTGAAGCAGGTTTGTTTTGTGTTCCATCAGCAGCCCTCTCTTAGGCGCATGCTTTAGAGACAGCGACGTGAATGTAATAAAATGAGAGCTATACACAGGCGCTGGAGCGTGTGCGGTTTATGGGGGACACAGCCCTCACACACACAGACACAGACACACACACACACACACACACACACACTGCAGAGTGACGAGGCCCCGGCCCCAGATCCTATCTCTGCTACAGCAGCAGGACGACCAGGCGTTGCTAGGACCGCTTCACCAGATGGGTCTTTGTCCCTTCTTCCGTCTCTCTGACAGAGACCAGAAAGAAACGAGACAGAGACCAGAAAGAGAGGGACCAGAGGGGGACGAGACACACAATTTCACAATGTAGCACATGAACTTTTAGGGACTGTGTGAATTGTGAATAAACTAAACTAAACTAAACACAGAGATTGAGACCAGAAAGAGAGAGACCAGAGAGGGACGAGAGGGGCGACGAGAGAGAGGGAGACAGAGACAAAGACCAGAAAGAGAGAGACCAAAAGGGGACGAGAGAGAGGGACGAGAAAAAGACCAGAGAGATACAGAGAAAGAGAGACTCGATAAAGATGAGAGACAAAGAAAGAGGGACCAGAGAGAAACCAGAGACCAGAAAAATACCAGAGAGCAACAGAAAGCTACAGAGTGACAGACCAGAAAGAAACAAGAGGGAAAGCAGAGAGAGAGACAGACAGGGAACAGACCGGCCGTTGCTTCTCCAGCGGTGGGAGGTACAGTAAGTCTTGTATAAGTCTGATTATGGCTCACATGAGATGGGGCTGGACTGGTTCTTAACTGGTTGACTGAGTAACTGGGTTCTGTTGTGGGAGAGGACTGCAGGATGAGGTATTAGAGTGTCTGAGGAGGAAGAAGTCTTTGTCAGAGGGAGAGCAGAGCAGAAGTCATGCATGCAGCACTGAGACCGCCAGAAATGTGGTCAAATGGAGAGAGACCGAGACGACGGAGAGAGACCACACATTAAACATGTCACGACGGGAGGTGGAACCACTCAACCATCATGTGAGACCTGCGGGTAGCACGGGACAAGGCAAGACCAACAAACACTAGAGCAAAACAAAGGATTCTGAGAGGGGCAGGTTTCTCACATGTGCAACTTAGGACTTATAAACGTGGGTAACATCGCAGTTTAGTCGTGCTATGCTCTATTCACACTGAGGTGTTGAAACCAGAGATGCTCATAAACCCCAGACTCGCAGGACCAAGTCGAGTCCGAGTCTCTGGACCCAGATGTCAAAGTTTTACAATGGTACAAAAGTATAACAACTCAACAATCACTGACAACATCATGGAAAATTGAATGATAAAAACTCATGATACTGTCTCAGAGAGAGCGAGAGACACACATAGACACACAAAGACAGACACCCATGGCGACTGGAGAGAGACAAAGAAAGAGACCAGGGAGAGAGACCAGAGAAAGACACACACAGACACAAAGACAGAGATAGATAGAAAGAGACCAGACCAGACAGAGGAGGAGTTGGTGTATCAAAAATGTTACAAACATATGGAATCAGATGCAAACACAAATTGTTTAGGTCTTGTGGCTACATGTGCAACACAATCTGTAAACAAAGCATTTAGGAGAACTTTCTTTTGGAGCTGTCAAAGCTGGAGAACCTGACTGTGGTTGTTTCATAAGTACATATTGTGTTCAGAACAGTCTTGTTTAAGTAACAGAGAGAGACCAGATAGAAAGAGGAAAGAGAGAGAGGCCAGAGAGAGACCAAAGAGAGAGACCAGAGCGAGAGACCAGAGCGAGACCAGAGCGAGATCAGAGCGAGATCAAAGAGAGAGGCCAGAGAGAGAGAGAGGCCAGAAAGAAAAATCAGAGAGAGACCAGAGAGAGACACCATTTTACTACACTGTCATTTTTGGTGGTAATAAATCCAGGTTTTTGCAGCTTTAACTGATCTCCTGGATGCGATAATGCGACAGTGCGACAGAAGCCGAGGGAATCCCAGGCCCTCTGGAAGCCTCACACTCCAACTGAACGTTTGAACTCGCTCCAGGAGTCTCTGGATCAGACGGAGGTAACATGTGGAGCCAATCACGGAGCTGTCTCATGGCCCCGCTGCACTACGGCAATTCAGTCACAAGGAGTCAAGTCATAGGAGCAGAGCCGGGGCTTTGGAGAGTGCGTTTGGGGCGCGATAAAGGAACAGCCCGTAAATCTGAGGTCCGCCGTGTCACAACAACAGAGTCTGCACGGTGTTGTAAAGAAGACCGAGAGCCACTCAACTTTAGGTTTGGACAGAAAAAAGAACATATTCCATGACACCCCAAAGCGACATTTATTTCTAATGCACACTACTGGCCACAGACTGTACACTGACAATGCTAATGCTAACATGCTAGCTCGATGAAAGCAGATTGGAAAGTGCTTGACGAGGTTTAACTCCTGCTATTTAACGTTTGTGTCTCAATCACCATTTTGAATCTGTGGTGTATCGTTCTCTCTGATCCTAGTGTTTATACGTGATATTGTCTTTGTGAATCCAGATATGAGCCGTATGAGGAGTGACCAGGTGCCTTCATTGTCGGGGTCTCAAAGAGAAGAGACCAGAGAGAGACCAGAGAAAGAGACCAGAGAGAGACCAGAGAGAGAGGCC